GGAGAGTTGGCGACACCCGCATAAAAAAATCGTTGATGGCGGGGCGAGCCACAGTTTGATGGATGTGACGAAGGCAAAAAAAAATCGATTGCAGCTGGAGCGCTGCATGCCTGAAATCGACGCGAGATTGGTCGACGGCATACCACTAGCAATTCAGGAGCGGGTACCTCACGTGCGAGTAACATGCGGCGAAAATTTCAGTTTCACGACAAAGATGCTGGCGACAACTTTTGATGGCTGCGACATGTTTCTGGGATGCGATTGGCTGCGCAAATACAACCCAAGCATCGACTGGCAGACGGGCGATTGTCGCATCAAATGGAGTGGCGAATGGCGACGACTACCCAAGTGGAGCTGTCAAGATTCGACCACATCGACGATCAGTGCAGTGACGATCAAGCAAGCCATGATTCGAGGAGCGCAACTGTATGCCGTCCGATGGATCACATCAACAGCTGTCGACACGCCAACCGACATCAACAAACTCTGCGCAGCTGTCCCAGATGATTTGGCGATGGTGATTCGGAAACACGCCGACATTTTTCCAGACGACCTACCGGCGGGTTTGCCACCTGGGCGAGAACACGACCACAAAATAGAGCTGGAGCTCGGACTCAATGGCGACTGACTCAGCCCGAGCTGAATGAACTTCGATGCCAGCTGGACTACCTGCTCGAGAAAGGTTTCGTTCGCCCCAGCACTTCACCGTTTGCAGCTCCGATACTGCTCACCCGGAAGAAAGATGGCGGTCTACGAATGTGTATTGACTACCGCGTCTTGAACCGGGTTACCATCAAGTTTCGCTATCCTATCCCGCGTGCCGACGAACTCATCGACCAACTTTGTGGAGCCAAGTTCTTCTCGAAATTGACCTGCGAGGCAGTTACCACCAAATCCGCGTGAACGAAGCTGACTGCTACAAGACGGCATTTCGGACCCAGTACGGAAGTAACGAGTACACGGTTATGCCTTTTGGCTTAACAAACGCACCTTCGATGTTCCAGTTAATCGTCAACGATGTTTTTCAGCTGCTGCTGGACAAATGCGTTATCGTGTATCTCGACGACATCCTGGTCTATAGCACTACCCGGGAACAGCATTTGAAGGGTTTGACAGCGGTTTTCTCTCTCTTGCAGCAGCACCGACTCATCACCAAGGGCTCACAGTGCGAGTTTTTAAAACACGAACTGGAGTTTTTGGGACACATCATTTCCATCGACAGCGTTAAAATCGACCCCAAGAAGATTGCGACAATCCAAGACTGGAAGCCGCCGGCTAATCTCCGCGAACTTCAAAGTTTCCTGGGGTTCGTGAATTACGTTCGCCGGTTCATTTCGAACATGGCGGGAGTAACTTTCCCTTTCATGGATCTCCTGAAGAAGGGCACGTTTTATGAGTGGGGGGGAGAGCAATAGGCTGCGTTCGAACAGCTCAAACTTTTCCTGACTACACCTCTAGTTCTTCAGATTGCAGATCCTCACCGTCCGTTCGAGATCATCACCGACGCTAGCGATCTGGCCGTTGGCGCAGTACTTTTACAAGCCTTTGGCGACGGCCTCCAACCCATCGCCTACAAGTCACGAAAGCTGAACCCGGCCGAGCGAAATCATCCTGTCCACGACAAGGAGTTACTCGCCTTCGTTCACGCTTTCAAACTCTGGCGCTGCTACCTGACGGGCGCTGACGTGACAGTCTGAACAGACCACAAATCGTTGCAGTTCACCCGCGCCCAACCGACATTGAATCCCCGACAGATTCGCTGGCTTGACTACCTCGAATCCAACTTCCACTACAGAGTCACCGACAAACGGGGGGTTAGTAACATCGCCGATGCTCTGACCCGCCCTTCAGTCCACACCGTCGCAGTCCTAATTACACAAGCTAATCCGCTGCTAACTGGCACATTCACCCACAGATACAATACTGACCCATTCTTCACCACTAACAGTCATCCCCAATTGACGGACAAGCAAGGGGCCTATTACCTAAAATACGGTACCAATCAGATTTGGGTTTCCGCCTACCGTACCCTACGGGAATTACTTATCCATGAGGCACATGACTCGAATTTCTCGGGTCACTACGGCATCGACAAAATCGCCAAATTACTGAGCCGTAATTATTACTGGCCCAATTTGCCGACAGACGTGCAACAGTACGTCACCTCCTGCGCCACGTGTCAACACATGAAGTCTTCCCGACTTCGACCTACGGGATTGCTGCAGCCGCTCGAGCCACCCAGCCGACCCTGGCAACAAGTGACGATGGATTTTGTCACTGGCCTGCCAGCGGGTTCAAGCGGTAATGACGCGATTCTCGTCGTCGTTGACCAGTTGACCAAGATGGCCCACTTCGCCCCCTGCAAGACGACGATTACTGCCGAGCAGACAGCGAAACTGTTCCTCATGAACATCGTGCGGCTACACAACATCCCTTCGGCAATCATCAGCGATCGTGACCCACGGTTCACGTCCAATTTCTGGACAAAAACCTGGCAGCACTATGACACACGTCTGCATCTGTCCACGGCGTACCACCCGCAATCGGACGGCCAGACAGAGCGCACCAATCAGACGATGGAGCAGCTAGTTCACACGACATGCACAGACTCGGCCCAATGGGAAGACGCCCTTCCCTTGATCGAGTTTGCATACAATAACGCCCCATTGGCCCCGACTACTCAGTCCCTGTTCTTCCTCAATCACGGGATAGATCCGACAACCCCTCTATCGCCGCCGATACTCAACATGGCACCAAGATCTCAGCAGTTCGTCGAAAATCTCTGATAGTCTCAGCAAAAAGCCGCCGATGCCATCCTCAAAGCCAACCAGAGGGCTAAGCAACAAGTTGACCGACGACGCCGAGACTTAACGCTCGCCCCATGGGCAATTGGTCCTGCTCGACACCAGAAATTTGGGAATTCCCCTCCCAAATAAATTACGACCCAGATTTTGCGGCCCATTCCGCATCATCCGTATGGATACACCAGTTACCGCCAAGCTGCAACTACCGACCGACTGGCAAATTCATGATTCGTTCCACGTCTGTCTCCTGCGACCGTTCATCCTGAGTACGACTACTCTCGACCGTCAACACATCAATCCTACGGTCAACCCAGTAACTGAGGCGACGATCGAGCCATCCAAGATTCTTGCTCATCGCGTACAAGGCCATCGAGATACAGCCGCCGTTGATTTCCTTGTATGATGGGCCGATCGCACGACTGACGACGACCTTTGGGTCCCTGCAGCTATGCTCGGTGAACACAAAGTCGTCAGGGAATATTTACACCGACAACGTGTCCCGGATGTGGGTAGTCTCATCCCGGAAGGGGGGGGTGGTGTAAGGAGATTCCCTGTTCCTTACTGGGCTCGACTACTGCGTGTACGCCCTCGGCTCTCGGAAGTCCAGGCTCGGCCAACTTCTTGGTCCCGAACCATTTCGCGAACCCAAACCTAGACGCGCAGCGCTTCCGTGGCTTTCGCCAACCGAACCGCCCCAACCTGTTCGCGTGGTTCTCGGCTAGCTCTGTTCATGCCTATAAATGCCACGGCCCTCATTTGTATCGACACTCTTGAATCACAACTCCTTTATTACACTACCTATTACTCTGATTAATTCATAACATTGAAGTTAGCAAATTGATGACACACGCCCTAAGTACTGTAACGCAAAATTGTGTCAACGAATGCAGGACGAGTGTACAGCAACTGGTCCGTTTGAAGATTCGCGGCTGCCGAAGTAATTGCGCTTGACCAATCACGTGACTTTCCTCAACCTGATCTCCAAGGAAGAGTTCGTTGCTGCTGACAGCAGCAGTCAGGCTTCCGGCGTGTAAAGTACAAAGCGTCTGCTTGCGTGGCCGAGGATTTTTTTTCAGTTGGCTTCAGCTGTGCGCTTCGCTTAATATTTAGATTGAAGGCGACCGGGATTCGGGACTCCAGACCGGAGGGAGCTAAAGTGTCCCATCGAGGTACACCACAAAATTTCCAAGGGTACAAACGTGTTCTTCCTGACATAATGATCTGTTGAAGTGATGACAACAACAGAAACCTCCACAAGGATCTGTAGTGGGGCAAAAGGCCATCATGCCATTTGAACAATGGAGTCTTCAGTAAACTCGTATTATATTCGGGGATTCTGACCCTTCAAAAGGCCGTGCAATCACGTTTCAAGCACAGAACGTATGGGTTTGATCGGATAAACGCACATGGATTGTGGATTCAGCTACAGTTACAAGGTGGTCAGATTGTCACACGGAGTTTGAACAGTGAGATTGGTGGCACTAAACAGTATCACTGTAGCTTTCTGAGCAGGGGTTGTGGAGCATGGGTTGCACTGTAGGTGCACAGCACACAGCTGCTGATCCGCATGGTGGTGATTTTGCCGTTGTCCACATGGCTGGAGGGATCACATCCAATCTCTCGTTTGCTGTTCTCCACCCAGCTGGGTTGACGAACAGGGCGACGATTTTCGCCACTTGCTGGTAACCATCTAAACGTGGGACAACATGCAGGACCAGCAGTTTTGGAGGGGGCTGCGTAACATCTGGCGAACGAGATTTTGCGTGTTACAGACCGTTCTTGTCGCGAAGTCAGACCTGCACAACGGCTGTCCCTGGTAACGAATCAAAATCACCTGTCCAACGAAAGTCCCGGTGGCGTACAGCTACGAATGAGAGTGGTGCGGCTCGTCTATATCGCGTCAGGCACCTCCCGATTTCCATCCGCGCTGGCTCTGCCAAATGCGCGTCTTCCTCTTGTTCGTGAAAGATCGTTTTAGGGGCAGCCCGGCTGCAGTACTTTACTATAAGTGGCAGCTTTGCTTACATGTAACTTCCCAAAATGCCAGGAACTGGGGCGAACAAATACACTTTCAGCATGAAATTCCGCCGAGCAAAGGCTTCGTGGGGCATCAAACTTACTGCACCCGCCCACATTATCTGCAGCCCAACATATTTCTTCCCCAACAAGACAGTTCGCCTGCCATTCCAAAATCACAAGTGATTGCCGCAAGGGTTGACATCACCCACCTTCCCTCATGCACAGCTCAAAGCAGAGCTGGTAGGAAAGACTGCCTTCGCAGCTTGATGCTCGCTCTCCCATCCCTCCACATCTGCCCTGCTTCAATTTCACATGGGTTGCTCTACTGTAATGTACTCACACCATACCCCAAAGCTCACTCCTATTCCACGCGGAGCTCATTGCTCACATGTTCCATAGCTTCACACTGTTTCCCCTCCACTGATAACACCACCGCATGCAGACTTGTAGAGCTTGAAGAGTCGACGAATACCTTCACCAGGTTACGTTGCCTTCCTAATCGGCCTCCTTTCTTCTTTACGTACCCTCCCACTTTGTAGCTTCTCTTTTCCGAATCTTCGCGCTCCTTCGTGGCTATCTGGCCACGCCCTCAAGTCCGCTTCAGGGCTATTTCATGCAGAGACTTTGAGTCTGCTGTGAAAGAGACGGATTAGTCCAGCTGCGTTTAGCGCAAACTTTTAATATCTGCCCTCGCATGGCTGCTGCAGCCGCTAGCTGCTGGGACGATACCGCCGCGCCGCACCTAAATAAATACGCTATGTTCGCACCGGGAACCGATCGCACTATCAGCAAGGAGGAATGGCGCCGCCAACAGGCGACGCTGATTAAAGCCATCGACCCGGAATTTTCGGGGAGCCTCGTGTGCCCGGTCACGGTCCGCAACTGGCGGAAACTCCAATCCGCCGAGACAAGCGTCGCCAGCTCAGACGCCGGCAACGGGGCGGCCGATTTGTCGGATTTCAGCAACATGGCGGCTTCAGCGGGACTCGCGGCGGTGGATTCGCCGCCAGGAGGGAACAACGCGCTTCCGCCGAGTCCGCCGAGCGCGCTGCGCGCATCGTCAGTTTACGCGGCTTCCGCCGTGTCGTCGACTCCCACCTCCTCCGTCTCCACCTTCGCCACTGACTCCTTCGCTTCCGGCGCTTCGAGTGCGTCCCTTGTCCCCAGCCCGCCTCCGCCGACCACGCAAACCGTTCCCCCTTCCCCCCGAGCCCCCGCCCCCGCGTCCGCCGCCGGCACGCCCTCCGCGTCGGCCACCAGCTCGCCCGCCAACTCAGGAAAGCTCCCGCGCGCGCGCGTGTCGCTGGCGCAGCAGATTCGCGAGCAGCAGATGAACTCGGGGCGATTCAAGCCCTTCGCATCGGGAAGATACGCTGACGGGATGTCGGACAGTGGACGATTCCCCATGTCGCCTCGTGTCGATAGCGGGCGGTTTCCCATGTCGCCCCTGGAGCCGAATTCCGGACCCAACTCGGGAAGGTTCTCTGCAGTTTCGCCGACTTCCAGCCAGGGTAATTCCGGCGCGTTTCCCAGTCCCATCCCCGGCGGGGGCCACTACGCGCCGGGCGGAAGCGGAGCTGGACCGCTTTGGCGACAGAGCAGCGACGGGCATCGCATGGCGGGTGCGACGATGGAGCGCCATCGCTTGGCTGCGACGATCGGCGACTCTGCCGGCGCAGCTCCCGCTACCATGTCGCAGGGTCCGCCGCAAGGCATGCCCCAAGCGATGGGTTTTAGCGCGGGCGCGCAGGGGATGGGCGCGCAAGGCATGGGTGCGCACGGCATGGGCGCGCAAGGCATGGGCGCGCAAGGAATGGGCGCGCAAGGAATGGGCGCGCAAGGCATGGGCGCGCAAGGCATGGGCGCGCAAGGCATGGGCGCGCAAGGCATGGGCGCGCAAGGCATGGGCGCGCAAGGCATGGGTGCGCAAGGAATGGGCGCGCAAGGAATGGGCGCGCAAGGAATGGGCGCGCAAGGCATGGGCGCGCAAGGCATGGGCGCGCAAGGCATGGGCGCGCAAGGCATGGGCGCGCAAGGAATGGGCGCGCAAGGCATGGGCGCGCAAGGCATGGTCGCGCAAGGCATGGGCGCGCAAGGCATGGGCGCGCAAGGCATGGGCGCGCAAGGCATGGGCGCGCAAGGCATGGGCGCGCAAGGCATGGGTGCGCAAGGCATGGGTGCGCAAGGCATGGGTGCGCAAGGCATGGGTGCGCAAGGCATGGGTGCGCAAGGCATGGGTGCGCAAGGCATGGGTGCGCAAGGCATGGGCGCACTTGGCGCGACTATGGGCATGGCCCCTGCGATGGGTGGTCCTGCGATGGGTGTTTCGTCGCAGAGCAACAATAATCTGTCGCCGCGCGATATGATTCTCCTTCGCCAGAACAAGTGGAGCGGCGCCAACGTCGCCGATGCTCCCCTCGCGCCAACCTTCGGCTCCTGCGGATATTCCGATAGTGAGTGCTCCACTACAACGTACACGCAGCGAAAAAAAATAGAGGTGTAGAAAGCAAGATCTGGTGGACATTTGTCCAACCTGCGTGTAAATATGCTCGTTTTAATTATTTTCCAGTACTGTTTCCTTACACTCCCTGTTCATTCTCCTTTTCCTTGCTCTGCCCTTCCCGTCACCCCTTTTCGCCCTCAGCCGCGTCGCAGTGCTCCAGTCACGACTCTTTCATCTCCACCCCTCAGCTCTCCCGACCAATCCCCTCCTTCGCCGCGCCTCCGCCCAAGACGGGCAGCTGGGACGGCAGCAACACCACCAATCCCACCGATGACGGCGAGGAAAAAGAGCTCGACTTTTCCTCAGTGCGCTCCGTGTGCCTCAATTTCGAGGAGGTTCTAGAAGCCGCCGAGTCAAAGGAATTTAATCGGTCGCGGATCGAGAGCATAGATATCGTCCCCCTGATTTCCGGCATGAAGAGCCCGTTCATGGCTGCAGCTGCGGCGAACCTTCCTGAGCACGTGCTTTTCGCGCTCACGTTTTCCGGGTCAGAAGATATTGAGCTGCCCGGGGACGAATCGATTCTGAAACTTTTTCCGAGCCGGTTTCAGACGAGGCATTGGGAGCAGGAGCAGAGGAAGCAGCAGCAGAAGGGTCAGAAGGAGGCTAAGATGTGGCAGTCGTGGCAATCCCAAGGGAATCCTCAGCAACAGGGTCAGCAGGGGGAACAGCCACCACAGCAACAGCAGCAGCAGCAGTCCCAGCAACCGCAGCAGCAGCAGCAGCAGTGGCAGCAGCAACAGCCGCAGCAGCAACCACAACAGTGGCAGCAGCAGCAGCAACAGCAACAACAACAGCAGTGGCAGCAGCAACAACAGCAGCAGTGGCAGCAGCAACAACAGCAGCAGCAGTGGCAGCAGCAGCAGCAATTCCAACAGCAGCAGTATGCTCCTCAGCAGCAGCAATATGCCCCTCAGCAGCAGCAGTATGCTCCTCAGCAGCAGCAGCAGCAGCAGCAGGGACAGAACCAGCAGCAGCAATGGCAGCAGCCGGCACAGCCCCAGCAGTATTCTTGAGCAGCACGCTGAGCAGGAGGCAGAGCAGCAAGGGATCAGGTTGAGAATGGCAAGGGGCAGCCATGGCGTGGCAGGCACCTGCACCAGGCTCAGTTGGTAAGAGAATGGATGTTGCTGGTGTTTAGATGCTGAGAGTGTACATGTGATGCTTTTGGTAGAGGGGAGAACTTCTCTACTACTGCATGTGGTTCATCTGCTTGCTGCAGATTGTGAACATTCTTTAGGCGTTTCGGCTGGAAATTGAAAGATTAGCCCTGAAACTTGTCTCTTTGTCTTGTTTCCATGAGGGTTTACAGAGCCATGCTTTCACTCATGCCGACGAGAGGTGGAGAGAGCGGTTGGGTTTACTTGCTAGTAACAAGTATAGGCAGTTGTATGTATTTCCTATTATCCTATTTAGCTGTATGCAGCTTATTTGAAAGGGCGCTCTGCCGAGCGCAAATCACACCAAACGAGCGGAGGGCCCGAGGCTCGGCAGGCCAGGCCACGCAAAACTGCGGCGGCGTTCCTTCGTGCGAAGCCTCTCCAGTCCACGGAAGCTGCTGCCACCTCACGAGGCCACGCACTTTGTGACTAACGACAGCGACACCATATCGGAAAATCTCCCGCCCGGGCAGCCTGACATGTCATTCCCTCGTTATTGCGGAAGATTCTGGCGTGCTTGTCTCGCTACTTATCGCGTCCCTCCCTGTAATTTCACGGGTCTGCCCAACACCTGCCCTTAGGCACGGCAATTTCGAGCATCAGGCCATGGCAATCTCGAGGTCTGTCCATTACCGAAAGGCCACGGATACTCTCCCAAGGTCAGAGAATTTGCTTTTCTCAGCATTTCCTTATCTCAGCCGTTTGCTCTTCCTTCAATCCGCCTTCAGCCGTTTCGAATCCAGCCATACTCTTCGACCCTGCGTCGGCTGAAGAAACGCCAGGAAGGTTTCGGAAGAGCAGCCGTTCCCGTCGTACGGTTTCCGCCTGCATCCTCTTCCGAAAGTAACACGACCAACAGCAGGAGTGAACTTCGTCGATCTCGACAGATTCGGCAGCCGTTTTCAGACAATAATCCACCATCGTCATTCCTCTCCTTCCCACCTTCACTCCACGCTCGTGCCGTGCTCTTCCGAATCCCTCTTCCCGTTGTCGAATTTCACATTTTCGCCTGAACAAATATATTATCGTGAAGAGGCTCGCATCCTCGTCAAAAAGGCTGAGAAATGGCGTCAAACGGAAGCTTCTGGTCGACCGCTCGAATGTTCGTGCCGTCTGCACTGGAGCGACCTCGCGAGCGGGAGCAACGCGTGTTCGTCGCGTCGCCCGTGGAATCCGTTATGCAGCAAAGCGCGGAGCAGAAGGCCAAGGCCCAGGAGTGTGTGGATGGTGAGTGTTTTGCTGTTTTTTCGTATCCACGCAAGAATTGTAAAAGATCATCACACGTAATTTGTTTCCGGTGTCATTCTCCTGTATTTCACCGCTAGTTCCATGGATGTTAGTGTCAAGTTCGGTTCATTTAATTTATGGCTGTTCTGTCTCCCATCCACTCTCAGCCGGCGTTAAAGCGGGATTCTATAACGCCGCGTGGGCTGCTGCGCTCACGACGCCCCCAACAGTGAGTCTTTCGGCTTTTTTCTTCCTAATTTGAGACATGGTATATTCTGATTGCGGCAAGAGTGGTGCTGCGAGCTTCGTTACTCGCTCACCACGCCGCCAACAGTGAGGCTTTCGGCTTCCTTCTTCCTAATTTGAGACATAGTATATTCTGATTGTGGCGTGAGCTTCATCTTCACTCTCACCACGCCACCAACACTGAGTAACACCCGTTTGAGAATTCTGAGTCGACTAAAAAATCACCGTTTCCCCCTGTCTGATATAAGAATCGTCATCTTTTGAGTGGTTCTGCGAGCTTCGTTACTCGCTCACGACGTCGCCAACAGTGAGTCTTTCGTCTTCTCCCCTCTTTGGGGAGGGTGAAGTGAACTACATCGTATTTTGAGTGCTAGTTTGAGCTTTATTGCACGCTCACTGTGCCTCGAACAGCGAGTCTTTCCCCTTCTCCCGTTTCTGACATGAGACTAGTCACGTTTTGAGTGATGGTGCGAACTTCATTACACGCTATTACACCCCAGCAGTGGGTATGTCCATTTCTCGCCTTCCTGATGGCCACGGTTTAAGACATGGTGGGAGCGTAAAAAACATGCTTATCACATGATCAAGAGAGAGATGTCACAGTTCCTTCTTTCTTGGTTTAAGGCCTCTTATGTTGTGAGGCGCTGTGCGTTTTGCGTGTTTGATTTTACCTTGATTGGCACTCACCTTGCCACCAACAGCGAGCTATCACTGAGAGACTTCACTGAAGCACTTTGGAATACACTCTCTACTCGATATTACATCCCATCCGTCCTTTCTCAGCTTCTACCTTCTCGCCTTTCTCTTCTTTCTCTGGCTTCCTCGTGTTCCCATTCCTGCCCTCAACCCACTCCTCGCCCCAAACCGTTTCATATGTTTTTTTGCTGTTTAGTGCATTGCGCCAAAACTGCCACATTCTTTTTCAATCCCTGGGAAACCAACCTCCTTCCTCCGTGATTCCTTGTCAGATCATCATCTGCCGAACCATGCCATGGGCCAAGAGGAATCTCAACCACACGGCACAGGCACTCATCATCAGCTCAGGTGGGTGGGCAGAACTGAGGTTGCAACGTCAGGTGAGCACAAGCAATCATTACCAGCTCAGGTGAGTGTGACAGCACAAAGGTTGTAGTATCATTTGGAGCAGGCACTTTTTTTTATCTCAGTTGGGTGGGCAGCGGTCAGTACTCAGGTTGCGGTATCAAGTGGTCTTCACATGCCAATACGTGAAATTGCTGGAAAAGAGATCGTTTGTGTTTTTCTCCGAGGAGTTGTCATTAAGTTTGGCACATTAAAGCCCGAGTCTACATTGGTTGGCTATCAAGTTCAGGATTCCTGAACTTGTTTTCGTAAAAGTGAGTAACCCAGTGAAGGGTACCTCCACGTCGCGACCCTCGGGGAAATGGGGCAGCGTGTGAAATTCGCTATTTGAGACAAACCTCGAACTCACTGTTCACTCATACTGAACTTGAAAACGCCTGGTACCATTCTAAACGCATTTTTTGCTGGGGCTCGTGACACGAGAACAGCCGTGTACAGTTCGCCCCCCCTCCCCCAAAGTCGTCACTGTTTGCGAACTGTTGATTGCAAGTTTTTGGGTTTCTTTTGCGTCGCGAGCAACATAAAATTTTCGCAGAGAAATAGTTTTCGCTAGGGGAGCTTTGCCGAAATTGGTTTCGCCCAGCGTTTTTGGCACTGTTTTCATGGTCAGTAAACATGGATTTTTACCATTCTAGACTCGGGCTTTAAAGCACACTATACTGGAATGCACACCCACACGTTGCAAGCTGCAATCCCCTTTTTTTGCTTTTCTAAACAGTTGCAATTGCAACTTAAGAGTATCTCATCAAGCAGGTGCACCCTATTACGGACAGCACATCCAAACTACCCCACCAGGCCCTCAGATTCGTTCTAGGCCACGCTGATTGATCAGTGTCGGTCTCAAAAAAACCCTGAAAATCAGTTTTTGGTCGTGGTTTTCTTACTGGTTGGCCCTGGTTCTTTCGTTTTCGAGGCTGATTCATCAGGGTCGGTACAAGAGAACATCCTGAAAAAGCAAAATCAGCGGAAAAAGCCTGACAACTATGGGCCTGTACCCCACCTTCATTGTGATTGTGTGTATGTGCAGCCGCAATTGCTGCGTATTTCATTACATCGGAGCACGCTATAATGGACTGCACAAAGCGCAAGTCAATGGAGGCTATTCATGCAAAGAGGCAAGCCAAGGCTGATGCTGCTGACGCTGCTGCTGCTGCTGCTGCCGCCACTCAATAGCATGCATGTCTCCATTTGAGGACTCAAAAGCATGCCACACGTCAATGAAGTTCATCCAGGCAAAGAAGCGAGCCAAGGCTGAAGTTTCTGCGGCTCAATACATATCACATGCTTCTCGGGAAATTGTACTGATGGGAAAGTTGATCTTGTTCTTTGTGGTGGCTGGCTCTTGTCTGATATTTCCACTACAATCGCCCCTTGATTTGATTCTAAGTGTGTCGATGGTTCTGTTCATGTCTGTATCGTACCGTATGTCCATCTGCAAATAGTTCTAAATCGGGTACTCGATGCGGTACACTAAAAGTGGAGGGCCTGAAAAGTTCCACCTACATGGTACATGTTACTATCAGAATTGGAATTGAATGATTGGTAAAGTGAGAGTACACACAAATATACCAAAGTGTTGTACCCTCTAAGAGGTAACCCTATACAGTCTATACAAACATGACAAATACAGATGTTTGACACACCCCCTAGACTGCATAGGGGAATACCCTAAACAAGCAGCTCAGGGCGGCACTACTAGTCCAACCTCTGAGACAAGGGTCTGAGAGACCAGTCAGAAGGAGTACAGACAAGGCAAGAACAAGACCAGGGCGGCACTACTAGTCCAGCCACTGGGAGAGGACACAAGTCCAGACTGAGTATACATATAAAGGACAGTACAAGTCAAGGTCCTAGCAAGTGAGAAGCGACAGGAACTAGACCAAGCTGTACACAGTGCCGCTGATGATCTTTAGGCGCAAGCGCCTTCGTAAAGATATCAGCTGTGTTGGCACCTGAGGCCAAGTGTACTACGCGAGCCTGACGTCGCTGCTGTAGCTCACGCAGGAGGAAGTACCGCAGCTGAATGTGCTTCACTCTGCCCTCGAGTCGAGGCTCCTGACACAGGAGGATCATGGCCCTGTTGTCAGCGAACAGGACCGGGGCAGAGCTAGGCCGCTCACCTAAGTCAGTGAGCAAGAAGGTCAGCCAGTGGAGCTCCTGTGCCGCCATGGCACCAGCGTAGATCTCAGCCTCACAGCTGGACTGTGCAACAGACGAGGAGCGAGTAGCTCTCCACGAGACGGCACCTGAGCCAAGGCTGAAGCAGTAGCCCTGGGTAGACCTGAGTGTCTCAGCGTCGTCTGCCCACGAAGCGTCTGTGTGTCCAGTAAGGACCACTGGCCTGCGTCCTCCAAGCACTAACCCCATGCCCGATGTACTAGCAAGATAACGCAGAACCCTCTTAGCGGCAGACCAGTGCTGCGGTCGGTGTCTGCCTGTGGCCACAAAGCGCGCCAGGATGCTGAGAGGGTATGCGAGATCTGGGCGAGTGCAAGTCATCAGGTACATGAGGCAACCCACCAGCTCTGCGTAGGGGCCGCTGGGCTCTACCACCTCCTCAGGTACTGGAGCGGAGAGTCTGTGGTCTACAGGCAGAGGGGTGGGCTGTGCAGAGGAGAACTGAAGGCTGAACCTCTGAAGGACCTGGCGCACCAAGTGTGACTGAGTCAGGGTGATGGTGCGCGCAGCTCTGTCCCTGGAGATCGGCAAGCCAAGGTAACGGCGCAGTTCTCCAAGGTCAGTGCAGGTGTGTCTCTTCAGCAGCTCTGCCTTCACGGAGGCCAGTGCGTCCCTATCTGCCGTGGCAAAGACCAGGTCGTCGACGTAAACAAGGATGTAGAACGGAGTCTGGCCAGCACGAACGAAGAGTGAAGGGTCTGCGGAAGACGGAAAGAACTGCAGGTCAGCAGGGGTAGCACGAAGAGTGTCGTGCCACTCACGGGGAGCCTGGCGCAGGCCGTAGACGGGGCGCCGCAGGAGCCACTGGGTCCCAGGAGGGAAGGTGCCAGTAAAGCCCGGAGGGCGACGCAGGTAGACCTGCTCGTGTAGGCTGCCCTGAAGGAAGGCAGTGGAGAAGTCGAGGGAGTGAAGCTCGTAGTCACGCTGAGCAGCTAGGTGTAACAGAACCCGAAGAGTAGTCATCTTCGGGGTCGGAGCGAAAGTCTGGAAGAATTCCACCCCCTCGCGCTGACTAAAGCCTCTAGCCACATAGCGCGCCTTGAAGACAGGCGGCTCTCCAGGAGGGCGCTTCACCTTGAAGAGCCAGCGGCCATCGACTACGTTCACCCCAGGTGGGGGAACTGCGTCGACGAAGGTGCCGGTGGATCTCCAAGATGCCATCTCCTGCTCCATGGCAGCTATCCACTGCGAGGCCCAGGGTCCCGAAGTCGCCTCAGCGTAAGTGCGAGGGGTCGGGATGTCGAAAGCGTCTGGGTCACCCTCAGGGACTAGCAGCATGGAACAGAGATGGGGAGCAGCCTCGGAGAGGAAAGCAAGCTCGAACTGGCGGTCCTCCAGGACGTCACTGCCAAGGGCAGGAGCACCCCCGACAGACGGAGGAGAGGCAGGGTCGGAGACCAGAGCGGTGGCGTAGTCAAGGCGGCGGGTAGAGGCGAAGTCAGCGACAGCAGCGACAAGGGCGTCAAGGCACGAGACCGGAACAGACGGGTCGGTAACGAGAGAGGCAAGGACCCGAGGGACGAGAGGACGAGCGACACGAAGGTAGTCGGACAGCGGGGGAGGCGCAACAGCAAGGGAGGACGGAGGAGGCGACGGGAGAAGGGGAGGACGAGACGCGTGGGAACGAAGCAACATAGGGTGGGAGCGCAAGACAGGCGAGGCAGGACGAGCACGGGAGGGGCGGTGAGACCAGACGTGCGACGGAGGAGTCGGGTCAGGAGACAGGGGAGGGGACACAGGAGGGGAACGAGGGGGGAGACGAGCCGGGGACGAGTCCGGCGGAGGGAAAACAGGGCCGTAGACAGGAAGAGGAGGAGACGGTCGGGGAGGAACCGACGCAGGGTCGGGGGACGGAAGGTCGAGCAGGCGAAGGGCGGACACCGGCGGGGACCGCTGCTGCGGCGGCACAACGGCGACACCTGGACCGCAAGCTGCTCCTCGGCGACCACCGGCACTCTCCACACCAGCACCCCCAGAGGGACCACCCCCAGGGCGACCGGGACGAGCACCCCCAGAGTCGGCGAACGGGGGCTGCGACGGCGGCGGCGGCGGCGGCGGAGGCGACGGCGGCGGCGGCGGCGACGACGACGGCTGCAGCAGCAGTAGGGGCGGTGGAGGAGGGGACTGGGGAGGGGACACCTGGGGAGGGGCGGCCGGCGAGGACTGCACAGGAGGGCCACCAGAGGCAGAAGACTCCTCAACCGGGTCCACGGGCGGAAGGGGGGTGACGTGGGACACACCAGAGGGGGCTGGACGGGGAGGAGGAGGAGGAGGGGCAGGGACTACCGGGGAAGGGGTGACCAGGAACAGGGGGGGGTAACCGGGGGACCACGGTGGGGGAAGCGGCGGTAGTAGGAGACGGACTCGTCAAAGGTGACGTCACGAGAGTGAAAGAAGCGGTGAGACGGCGGGTGGTAAAAGTGCCAGTCGGACGCGTCAAGGGGAAAACCGAGGAAGACGCAGGGAAGGGTGCGGGCAGTGAGCTTGTCCGTGCCGGAGGCACGGACGTGAGCAAGGCAGCCCCAGACGTGGAACGCAGACGCGTCACCAGGGGACCCAGTCCAAAGACGGGTCGGCGAAACCTGCGGCTGATGAGGGTGCGGCCACAGGTTAAGCTGGTGAGAAGCGTAGCGCACAGCGAACGGCCACAGAAAATGGGGTGCACCGGCATGGATCATGGAGGTGCGAGCGACCTCCATGACCAAACCGATGCGTCGCTCAGCGACCCCATTCTGCTGTGGGGAGTCCGGTAGGGTGAACGTCTGGGTGATGCCCTCCGCACGACAAAAGCGACCAAGGACACCGGAGGCAAACTCGCCACCACGGTCTGAGTGAAGACGCAAGACAGGGAGACCGCGGTGGACACGCGCAGAGACAAGCCAGGGGATGAGAGCGCCAGGCACGTCGGCCTTGCGCTCCAGGGGAAAGACTGTGGTGTAACGAGTGAAGTCGTCGACAAGCACAAGGAAGTAGCGCTCTCGACGCGGCCCAGGGACGGGGGCGGGGCCCCAGACGTCCAGGTGCAGGGTCTGCAGCGGCGCGGCGGTAGGGGGAAACGAGGAGGAGTGAGGGGCACGGCGAAGCCGACCCTCGACACAAGGCGTGCAAGGTGGGGCTGGAGAGGAGGGAAACGCGGGGAGTGAACCTGGGAGACCAAGGACGAGACCGTGCTGGGACATGTGACGCAGACGCGGGAGCGCAGGGTGACCTAGGCGGTGGTGCCACAGGAGGGTCGGGTGAGTGAGGGAGCGACTGGAGCAGGCAGCAGCAACCTGGGTAGACGCAGCCACCTGAGGGGGCGCTCCAGCCGGGGGGGTCACGGTGTCCAGAGTGAACAGGCCGGACACCGGGTCCTGGGGGAACGTGGACAGGGGGGCACCAGTGGCGGCCTCGGTACAGACAGCATACCGCTCGTGACCAGGGAACGTAGTGGTGACGCCAAGGTCCTGGAGGCAGCCGACACCAACTAGGTTCCTGGAGAACGAGGGGATATGCAGACCTGTAAGAGAACCCGAAGGAACCGCCGGACAGGGAAGGGTGGTGGAACTGCGGGCGACTACCGGGCCGCCGGAGGGGTCAGCAAGAGAAACGGCAGCAGGAACAGGAAGCGGCGTCAGGGTGGTAGAGTCGCGGAAGAAACACCGAGAGGCGCCAGAGTCCAATGTGAAGGAAAGCGAAGCCGAGGGGTCTGGCGACGGAACGACGGCGGAAGCACCAAGACTACACAAAGCAGGGGATCCTACGCCTGACGCAGCAGGGGAGGCTAAGCTAGGCACACATACACTAGGCAACAGTGAGTAGTAAGCGGGAAGCACACTAGAGTCATCAGCATACATCACATGCAGAGCAGAAACAATGGCATCCATGTCCATATCAAAAATCTGAATCTGACGACTAAGCAAACAGTGCCAGTCCGGGAGGTCTGGCGACGGGCCGAAGCGCTGACGAAAGAGGTCGTCCAGGCGACGAAAACAGCGGGGAGTGGAGTGACCGAGCTTACCGCAAACGAAGCCGCGGCGAGGACCGGTCTGGATCTGGTACTGACAACGCCCGCCGCCAGAGCCACCATGCGGCACACCACCACGCGCTCGGCCACCGCCAGCGCCGGGCCACCCGGGCGGGAGGACACTCGTCTGCCGCGTCTGCGACGGCTGCTGCGGCTGCTGCGAAGGCTGCGACTGCGGCGGCTGCTGCGGCTGCTGCACCTGCAGGGGCGGCGACTCAGCTGAACTGGGCAGGGTCCCCTCGTCCACTCCAGCACCAGGCGACCCGACCCCACCACTACCCCCGCCCGCACCCCCGCCGCCTCCTCCGCCGCGCCCAGCCTTGGGGCGGCGGCCCTTCCCCGAACGGACCTGCGCTGCAGCAGCAGTCTCAGCCACTGCGGCAGAGCCGTCGGAGAAGGTGCACTGAGCGGGGGCACAACCCTGAAAGATAGGGACCGGCACGACACCGCTCGCCTGGGCAATGGAGCGGTGACAGGTCTCTATCACAGTCAGGGTGTCTACAAAGTCAGTGAGGGTGAGGTCTGCGGGGTGAACGCTAAGAAAGCGGTCGCGGGCGACAGCAAGGCGGTCAGGGAGGCGGGTGGCAAGCAGGTAGAGGGTAGAGGTAATGGGCGGCTGGTGGGCTCTAAGCTGGGCGTCAGTGCAGGCAGCGCGCCAGGTCTCATCTATCGAGCGCAGGTGGGCAGCGAGGTCAGAGACAGTGGGGAAAGATGCAAGGTCAGGAAAGAGCAGCGGAAGGATCAGGCGACCCACCGAGGCAGCCGGAGGGGTGGAATAGCGCTTGATGACAGCATCTAAGTATGCTTGAGCAGTAGTGAGGGACCTAAAGCGAGGACGCTCGGATGGGGGAAGGGCGTTGCTAATGGCAAGCTGGGCAACAGCATCGCGAGAAAGCCAGACAGAGCGCGCACGGGCAGTGGCAGCAGTAGCCTCACGCTCAGTGGGTGTGGGGTCAGCGGGCAGAATAGCAGGGGGGTCTGGGCAGGGGAGCGTACCGTCAAGGTGTGCGGAAAGCGGTTCACCATCCTGCCGCTGGCCAGTGAGTTGACGGCGGAGGTCGGCAAGCCACGCCTCGAACTCTAGGGGCTGACCTTCAGCGTCGAAGCGAAGCTCCGCCGCCATCAGGAACAGTCCAGTGCAGTGCAGGGCAGTGCAGTGCGGTGCAGTGCGGTGCAGTGCGGTGCAGTGCGGTGCAGTGCGGTACAGTGCGGTGCAGTGCGGTGCAGTGCGGTGCAGTGCGGTACAGTGCGGTGCAGTGCGGTGTAGTGCGGGGTAGTGCGGTGCCAGGCAGTACAGTGTGGTGCGGGGCGGCACGGAGCAGGGCGGGGTGGGGGGGAACCGTACCAGTGAGGAGGACGGGGCCGGGGCTGGCCCGACGGGGCCGGGCGGGCGCGACGGGGCCGGGCTGGTGCGACAGGGCCGGGACGGGGCGACGGGGCCGAGCGGGCGCGACGGGGCCGGGCTGGGGCGACGGGGCCGGGCGAGTGCGGCAGGGCCGGGCCGGTGCGACGGGGCCGGGCGAGCGGGACGGCGGCCGGGCGGGTGCGACGGGGCCGGGCGGCTGCGACGGGGCCGGGCAGGGTGGGACGGGGCCGGGCGGGGGCGACGGGGCCGGACGGCTGCGACGGGGCCAGGCAAGGGCGACGGGGCCAGGCGGCTGCGACGGGGCCGGGCGGGCGCGACGGGGCCAGGCGGCTGCAACGGGGCCGGGCGGGCGCGACGGCGCTGGGCGGGCGCGACAGGGCCGGGCGGCTGCGACGGCGCCGGGCGGGCGCGACGGGGCCTGGCGGCTGCGACGGGGTCGGGCAGGGTGCGACGTGGCCCAGGAGGGGCGCGACAGAGCCCAGGAGGGGCGCTACGGGGCTTGGGCGGAGCGCGACGAGACCCAGGAGGGGCGCTAGGGGGGCCTGGGAGGAGGGCGACGGGGCCTGGGAGGGGCGCGACGGGGCCAGGGAGGGGCGTTACAGGGCCCAGGAGGGGCGCTACGAAGCCCAGGAGGGGCGCGACGAGGCCCAGGAGGGGCGCTACGGGGCCCAGGAGGGGCGCGACGGGGCGCTACGGGGCCTGGGAGGAGCGCGACGGGGCCCAGGAGGGGCGCTAGGGGGCCTGGGAGGAGCGCGACGGGGCCTGGGAGGGGCGCGACGGGGCCTGGGAGGGGCGTTACAAGGCCCAGGAGGGGCGCTACGAAGCCCAGGAGGGGCGCGACGAGGCCCAGGAGGGGCGCTACGGGGCCCAGGAGGGGCGCGACGGGGCGCTACGGGGCCTGGGAGGAGCGCGACGGGGCCCAGGAGGGGCGCTAGGGGGCCTGGGAGGAGCGCGACGGGGCCTGGGAGGGGCGCGACGGGGCCTGGGAGGGGCGTTACAAGGCCCAGGAGGGGCGCTACGAAGCCTAGGAGGGGCGCGACGAGGCCCAGGAGGGGCGCTACGGGGCCCAGGAGGGGCGCGACGGGGCGCTACGGGGCCTCGGAGGAGCGCGACGGGGCCCAGGAGGGGCGCGAGGGGGCCTGGGAGGAGCGCGACGGGGCCTGGGAGGGGCGCGACGGGGCCTGGGAGGGGCGTTACAGGGCCCAGGAGGGGCGCTACGAAGCCCAGGAGGGGCGCGACGAGGCCTGGGAGGAGCGCGACGGGGCCCAGGAGGGGCGCTAGGGGGCCTGGGAGGAGCGCGACGGGGCCTGGGAGGGGCGCGACGGGGCCTGGGAGGGGCGTTACAGGGCCCAGGAGGGGCGCTACGAAGTCCAGGAGGGGCGCGACGAGGCCCAGGAAGGGCGCTACGGGGCCCAGGAGGGGCGCGACGGGGCGCTACGGGGCCTGGGAGGAGCGCGACGGGGCCCAGGAGGGGCGCGAGGGGGCCTGGGAGGAGCGCGACGGGGCCTGGGAGGGGCGCGACGGGGCCTGGGAGGGGCGTTACAGGGCCCAGGAGGGGCGCTACGAAGCCCAGGAGGGGCGCGATGAGGCCTGGGAGGAGCGCGACGGGGCCCAGGAGGGGCGCTAGGGGGCCTGGGAGGAGCGCGACGGGGCCTGGGAGGGGCGCTAGGGGGCATGAGCAAAAGCGGTAGGTGGGGGGGATCCTACCTACGCGTGATACCATATCAGAATTGGAATTGAATGATTGGTAAAGTGAGAGTACACACAAATATACCTAAGTGTTGTACCCTCTAAGAGGTAACCCTATACAATCTATACAAACATGACAAATACAGATGTTTGACAGTTACAACCTAGAATAGCAGCATACAGTATCCCTGTAACAGGAGCAATAGCAGAACATAAACACCATATTGTCTCGGAACCATTAGAATACGGCATCCCAATGGCAGCAACCCAAGCCCTTGCACCTGCTGGAGAGGCATTTTGAGGCATCTGGTAATGTGACCTCTTATTACTGATGCTGCTGCTGCTGTGTTTGGTTGTCTGGTCGACACATGGTCTTCTGAAACACCACAAATATATCCCGGCCCTCCGTCAACACACTCCGCACCCACCCCAGGCCCCTAGCAACTGCTGAGAGGAAATTTGACCCACCTGACAATGTGACCCCTCATTATTACTGTTACTGTTGCTACTGCTGCTGCTGCTGCATTTGCTTCTCTGGCCACCGCACGGGTTTCTGGAACACCACAAACGCCTCCCGCCCCTACTACACCAACACACTCCGCGCCCACCCCAGGCCCCTAGCTACTGATGAGAGGAAATTTGAGGCACCTAGTAATGTGACCCCTTTTTTCTACTGTTACTGCTGCTGCTGCTGCTACTGCTGCTGCTGTGTTTGGTTCTCTGGCTGCCACATTGTCTTCTGAAACACCACGAACGCCTCCTCCCCTTCTTTCACCAGCACTCTCTGCATTCAACCCAGACCCCTAGCGAATGCCGGTGAGGCATTTTTAGGTACCTAGTAATGTGACCCCTTATCAATGCTGCAGCTGCTGCTACTGCTGCTGCTGTGTTTGGTTCTCTGGTCGCCACACTGTCTTCTGAAACACGACGAACGCCTCCTTCCCTTCTTTCACCAGCACAGTTTGCGCCCACCCCAAGCCCCTGGCAAGGGCCTGCAGGAACGGGATGTGCAGAGCATGCTCCCGTGCTATGAAGTAGCCCAAAGGGCGGAGGATTCGATCGATCTCCACTGCTATGTCTGCTGCTTCGCACCTGAGAGGGAGGAATGGATGGAGTGAGGGAGGGAGGAACGGGATGTGCTGAGCATTCTGCCGTGCTATGAAGCAGCCCAAGGGACAAAGGATGCAGTCAATCTTGACTGCTTTGTCTGCTGCCTCGCACCTGAGAGGAGAGGGAGAGGGAGAACAGTTGACAGCCTCACACCAGCCGTGGTAGACAGCCAGCAGGCCGTAGCCACCTCCATCTCACGCTCACTGCATCTCACCATTAATCGGCCAACTCCATGCCCAGATGATGGCTTGAGTGCTCGAGCTCCTTTGTGTAAGGGCACGTGATGAGGGAAGTCCATTTTGGTGCCATGACTTTATGTGGCAGAGACTTGAAAAGTACTGGCAACCGGTTTCGGCTCAAAGCCCTTTGACTTTGAGTGCACGAGGTCGTTTGCGCGAGGGCACGAGTTGAATGCCCTGCACCAGTCGTGGTACACTCCCAAGGCACAGTCCCTTCCTTGTCATCCCCATCTCTGCATCTCACCTTTTATTTCCCAACTCCTTGCCCACATGATGGTCCGAGTGCACAAGGTCGTAGGTTCGAGGGTATGTGTTGAACGCCTCGCACCAATCGTGGTACACTCCCAGCAAGAATAATCACCTCCTCACCTCCCCCTCTCACCTCCCTCTCACCTTTTCTCAGTCAGCGCCTTGCCATTGTGGTGGTCTGAATGCACAAGATCGTAGGTGCGTGGGTGCGTGTCGAACGCCTCACACCAGTCGTGGTACACGCCCAGCAAGCCAGCCAGCACGCTCACCTTGTTCCCACTCACACCCTCTCACCTTTCATCAGTCAGCGCCTTCCTAATGTGGTGGTCCCCGAGTGCACGAGATCGTAGGTGCGAGGGTATGTGTTGAACGCCTCGCGCCGGTCGTGGTACTCCGCCCAGCAACCTGCAGTCCCTCCCTTGTCACCCCCCTCTCACCTCCCTCCCACCTCCCTCTCACCTCCCTCCCACCTCCCTCTCACCTCCCTCCCACCTCCCTCTCACCTCCCTCCCACCTTTTCTCAGTCAGCGCCTTGCCAATGTGGTGGTCCGAATGCACGAGATCGTAGGTGCGTGGATACGTGTTGAACGCCTCGCACCAGTCGTGGTACACGCCCAGCAAGCCTCGATCAAATACGACCGGCAGGGTATCTGGGCTGGTTGTGGGTACTGCGTTCATTGTCCACACGGGCTTGACTCGCTCCAGAGCAGCACCGAAGCTGGAGGAAGGAGGGGGTTTATGTGGGGGAAATGCAGGAAGATGTCAGACAACAGATATCAGGCAACGGATGCCAGGCAACGGATGCCAGTCAACGGATGTCAGACAACAGAAGAGGGAGTGTCCGGCTTGATTGTGGGCTCCGCTTTTGTTGTCAGAGAGGAGAGCGAGGAGAGGGGAGAGCGAGGAGAGGGGAGAGCGAGGAGAGGGGAGAGCGAGGAGAGGGGAGAGCGAGGAGAGGACAGGGAAGTGAGGGATAAGTCCACCCTTCCAGCCGTTCACCCGCCACAGTGTGCGTCCATGTCGAGCACATTCCGGATCCCCGCCCACTGAATCCCGAGCCCCTCCACATAGTGCCGCACCACCTGCTCCCAAACCCCTTCCCATCGCCCCAGTATGGAGGCACCTTGAGTTGAGAGCACACTCACCCCCCATAGTGGGCGTCCATATCAAGCACATTCCGGATCCCCGCCCACTGAATCCCGAGCCCCTCCACATAGTGCCGCACCACCCGCTCCCAATGCCCCACATCGTCTCTGTACTCCTTCCCTGCTGGCCGCCCATACACCCCCATCCCCTCCTCCCCTCCTCCCTCCCCTCCTCCTACCTTCCCTCCCTCCTCTCTTCCCTCCTCCCCTCCTGCCACTCCTCCCGCCACATTTCCTCCCGCCTTCCCCCTCTCCAGCCACCCAGGCACCGCTGTTAGCCTCTCCTCCCCCTCCACCGGCCACCTTCCCCCCCTCTCCTCCTTCCCAGAGGGAACCCTGTGCAGGCATGCCTGCATGGGGATATACCACGCCGCATCGGGGTTGTCCTGTAGTGGGCACATGGGCGGCAACGCGCCGGCCGGCCGGGCGGCATAGCAGTCGTTGGTGGTCGGCTTCTGCCACACGGCCACGCCAATGCCAAACCCGTGGCTGACTTTCTTGCCCACCCGCTTCCAGCACATTCGGTTAGTGAGGTTATTCATGGCTGTTGGGAGGGGGGGCCAGGGGGGGGAGAGACGGGAGGACAAGGGGGGAGAGGAGGGGAGAGGGGGGAGGAGAAGTGTAAGTGGTATGCCACACGGCCACACAGATGCCGAATCCGTGGCTGATTTTCTTGGCCCCCCGCCTCCAGCACATGCCAGAGGCGAGGTTGGACATGGCTGGAGGAACAGAGGGGAACAAGGGAAGGGGGGGATTGGGGTTGGAGAGGGAAGGGAGATGCGCGCTGCTCTTGAATCCGCGGCTGAGTCTCTTTCCCCCCCGCTTCCAGCACATGCCAGAGGCGAGGTTGGACATGGCTGGAGGGACAGAGGGGAACAAGGGACGGGGGGGATTGGGGTTGGAGAGGGAAGGGAGATGCGCGCTGCTCTTGAATCCGAGGCTGAGTCTCTTTCCCCCCCGCTTCCAGCACATGCCAGAGGCGAGGTTGGGCATGGCTGGAGGGACAGAGGGGGAGAGGAGGGAAGGCGACCCAGGGAGGTCCCTACTACACCTGTGGCTGCTTTTCTTGCTCACCCGCGTCCAGCAGATGCTAGCTGTGAGATTTGTCATGGCAGGCGGGGGATAGAGGGGGAGAGGAGGGAAGACGACCAGGGCAGGTGAGGCTCCTACTACACCTGTGGCTGCTTTTCTTGCTCACCCGCGTCCAGCAGATGCTAGCTGTGAGATTTGTCATGGCTGGCGGGAGAGGGAGTTATGCACGGAATGAGGAGCTTTTGAGTCGACTCAAAAGTCGCCTTCCATATCTCACCTTCCTGTATCCATCGCTCACCTTCCCATATCCATCGCTCACCTTCCCATATCCATATCCCCACCCCCTATGTGCATCCCTCACCTTCCCATATCCTTCTCTCACCTTCCCATATGCTCTCATCCTCCGTCCCTTTAGCCGCGCATTCCCCTTGCACACAGGCGTGGCGGACTAGAGGAGGAGTTCTCACCTTCCCATAGGCCCTCATAGCCCATCCCCTTGCACACAGGCGTGGCAGACTAGAGGAGGAGTTCTCACCTTCCCATAGGCCCTCATAGCCCATCCCCTTGCACACAGGCGTGGCGGACTAGAGGAGGAGTTCTCACCTTCCCATAGGCCCTCATAGCCCATCCCCTTGCACACAGGCGTGGCGGACTAGAGGAGGAGTTCTCACCTTCCCATAGGCCCTCATAGCCCATCCCCTTGCACACAGGCGTGGCGGACTAGAGGAGGAGTTCTCACCTTCCCATAGGCCCTCATAGCCCATCCCCTTGCACACAGGCGTGGCGGACTAGAGGAGGAGTTCTCACCTTCCCATAGGCCCTCATAGCCCATCCCCTTGCACACAGGCGTGGCGGACTAGAGGAGGAGTTCTCACCTTCCCATAGGCCCTCATAGCCCATCCCCTTGCACATAGGCGTGGCGGACTAGAGGAGGAGTTCTCACCTTCCCATAGGCCCTCATAGCCCATCCCCTTGCACACAGGCGTGGCGGACTAGAGGAGGAGGCACCCATGTGGCCGGCCGCCTGTCGACTCAAGTCAGCAGTCAATTGCCCCTAGCCAGTTCTCACCTTCCCATAGGCCCTCATAGTCCATCCCCTTGCAGTCAGGCGTGGTGGACCAGAGAGAATTGGCCCCTGGGCGGAGCAGCCGGCTGAGTCAAGTCAGCAATCCATCGGCCCCAGCCAGAGATGTCTCACCTTCCCATATCATCTCGCCGTCTCTCCCCTTGGCAGCGCACTCCTAATTACACACAAATTGGCCGACCAGACGGACGGACGGAGCACGCAACTAGTGTGTCACGCCTCCCATCCCTTCCCAACCAGCTCCCACCTTCCCATATCATCTGGCCCTAGCCAGAGATGTCTCAGCTTCCCATATCATCTGGTCGTCTCTCCCCTTGGCAGCGCACTCCTTGCACACAGGCGTGGCCGACCAGATGAAGTAGCCCCCTCGACAACCGCCTGTTGAGTCAAATCAACATTTGAGTGCCCCTAGCTTGAGGTCTCTCACCTTCCCATGTGCCCTCATCGTCCCTCCCCTTGGCCGCGCAGTCCTTGCACACAGGCGTGGCCGACCAGATGAAGTAGCCCCCTCGAAAACCGCCTGTTGAGTCAAATCAACATTTGAGTGCCCCTAGCTTGGTCTCTCACCTTCCCATATGCCCTCATCGTCCCTCCCCTTTGCAGCGCACTCCTTGCACACAGGCGTGGCCGACCAGATAAAATGGCCCCCTCGACAACCGCCGGTTGAGTCAAATCAACATTTGAGTGCCCCTAGCTTGAGGTCTCTCACCTTCCCATATGCCCTCATCGTCCCTCCCCTTGGCAGCGCACTCCTTGCACACAGGCGTGGCCGACCAGATGAAATAGCCCCCTGGGCGGAGCAGCCGGTTCACCTCCAATAGCAGCTTGCCACCTGTACAGACAGGGATCAGCGGGAGAGCAATCAGTCACACACAGATCGTAAGAGACAAGACGGGGGCGCAGAGTGAGACATCTGCGTCGACTCAGAGGCCACACACAGATCGGTAAGAGACAAGAAGGGGTTGCAGAGTGAGACGACAACGAGTCAGGGATCAGTGGGACAAAACAAACACAGTCTCGCCTTCTGACAACAAACACTGCCTCGCCTTCTGACAAGACAAACGCGGTCTCCCATTCTGACAAGACAAACCCAGACCTTCTGACAAGACAAACCCAGACCTTCTGACAAGACAAACCCAGACCTTCTGACAAGACAAACCCAGACCTTCTGACAAGACAAACCCAGACCTTCTGACAAGACAAACCCAGACCTTCTGCCAAGACAAACCCAGACCTTCTGCCAAGACAAACCCAGACCTTCTGACAAGACAAACCCAGACCTTCTGCCAAGACAAACCCAGACCTTCTGCATGCCAGGGCACGCAGCACCAGGCGCAGTGCACAGCAACGAGCACGTTGGCCAGGAGTGGCTGCCTCTGCGTGCCCATCACCCCCACCAGCACTGGCACGCCACGCTCCAGGTTTTCAGGTTACGGGTTCAGGGGAGATTGGGTTGGGGGATCTTGCTCCTTACCTTCAGCATGCCAGGGCACGCGGCAGCGAGCACAGTGAACTGCATCCAGCACATTGGCCGGGAGCGGCTGCCTCTGCGTGCCCATCACCCCCACCAGCGCCGGCACGCCGCGCTCCAGGGCGAACTGCACCTGCGCCTCGTGCTCGTCCTTCGGGGCCACTGAGAGCACACGCGTGTGGAAGGCGTCTAGGTACGCGCCGAAACTCGCCACGCCACACCCCATATCCAACATGGTTCGGATGCGTTTGCCGAAGGTCAGGTAGGGGAAGGTCTGGGGGAGAGGGAGGTGGGGGAGGTGAGGGGGAAGGGGGGTAAGGAGAGGGGGGAGGAATTACCCCCATGCGGCGCTCCAGGGCGAACTGCACCTGCGCCTCGTGCTCGTCCTTAGGCGCCACTGAGAGCACGCGCGTGTGGAAGGCGTCTAGGTACGCGCCGAAACTCGCCACGCCACACCCCATGTCCAGCATGGCTCGGACTCGTCTACCAAAGGCCAGGTAGGGAAGTGTCTGGGGAGAAACAGGGGAAAACAGGGGGGAACAGGTATAGAGGCCTCGTGCACGTCCGTCGGGGTCACTGACAGCACGCGCGTGTGGAAGGCGTCTAGGTGCGCGCCGAAACTCGCCACGCCACACCCCATGTCCAGCATTGCTCGGATGCGCTTGCCAAAGGCCAGGTAGGGGAAAGTATGGAGGGAAAACGGGGGAGAAGACGAGGTCTGTCACCCCACCCCCCATCCCATGACCAGCATCACCCCCGGATAAGCTGGCTGATGGCCAGGTGGGGGCCGGTCTGGAGGCACCACCCGGATGCGCCAGCCTAAGGCCAGACAGGGGAAGGTTTGGAGGGCCAAAGAAGGTTGTGTACATAGCGGCGCCAGCCTAAGCTGCATTTCCTGCTGCTCTCGCCTTTCTGCGACCCCTTGTCCACTCTGCTGCTGTACTCGCTATAAACAGAAAAATATTCACCTTCTTCCTGCAGCCACGTTTTGTACGTAGTGGTGCCATGCATACATACACTGTGACTCCTACTTTACTCGGCCTTTCGAATCCCGTATCTTACTGTGCTGTACTCGCTAGTAAAAAACCCCTTTCTCACCTCCTGCAGCCAGGTGATGTACTTAGTGACGCCGTACTTAAACTGCGTGCCGCCGCCCGGAAATATGAACCGGTCGCCCTCGGGCTTGATCCAGTTCTGGTCCGCCTTGTAGCTGGCGAGCTGCGAGTGCGGCACGTTGCTGAACCAGATCTGGTGGGGGAGGGGAGGGATGGGGGGAAGGAGATTGGAATGTTAACCACTCGCTCCCTCGGGCTTGATCCAGTCCAGTTCTAGTCGGCCTTGTAGCTGGCGAGCTGCGAGTGCGGCACGTTGCTGAACCAGATCTGGTGGGGGAGGTGAGTGTGATGGCGGGAAGGAGAGAGAAATAAGAACATGCCGCCTTCAAGCTGAGTGCTATGACCGCTCCGCTCTTTCTTTTCCAGACACGTGCGCACCTGATCCCTCGACTCAGGCCAGTTGACGTGCGGCTTGTATCCCTCCGGCAGCGGCAGCAGGCAGCAGCAGCAGGCAGCAGGCAGCAGGCAGCAGGCAGCAGGCAGCAGGCAGCAGGCAGCAGGCAGCAGGCAGCAGGCAGCAGGCAGCAGGCAGCAGGCAGCAGGCAACAGGCAGCAGGCAGCAGGCAGCAGGCAGGCAGCAGGCAGCAGGCAGCAGGCAGCAGGCAGCAGGCAGCAGGCAGCAGGCAGCAGGCAGCAGGCAGCAGGCAGCAGGCAGCAGGCAGCAGGCAGCAGGCAGCAGGCAGCAGGCAGCAGGCAGCAGGCAGCAGGCAGCAGCAGCAGGCAGCAGGCAGCAGGCAGCAGCAGCAGGCAGCAGGCAGCAGGCACTGCAGCATGCCATTTTGTACATCCCCCATAAGCGCTCACCTGATCCCCGGATTCAGGCCAGTTGACGTGCGCCTTGTACCCCTCGGCCAGTGGCAGCAGGCAGCGCAGCACACCCTCCCTCCCCAGGCAGTGCCACTCCCTGTGCTCGTAGTGGCTCGTGGACTCGAGTAATTAAACTCTAAACCGTTCCCTTTTCCGAACGCACGCACCTGATCCCTGGATTCCGACCAGTTCACGTGCGCCTTGTACCTCTCTGGCAGCGGCAGCAGGCAGCGCAGCATGCCCTCCCTCCCCGGGTAGCTTGTACCCCTCTGTATTCGTATTGCTTCGTCCAATTGAATCCTATAGTCACCCTCCCAATTTTCTAAACATGCTCACCTGATCCCTCGACTCAGGCTAGTTGACATGCACCCTGTACCCCTCTGGCAACAGGCAGCAGGCAGCTGGCAGGCCAGCACACCATATGGTACGTCTCCCACAAGCGCGCACCTGATCCCTGGATTCAGGCCAGTTCACGTGCGCCTTGTACCCCTCTGGCAGCGGCAGCAGGCAGCGCAGCACGCCGTCCCTCCCCGGGCAGTGCCGCTCCCGGTGCTCGTAGTGGCTCGTCGACTTGAGCGCCTTGATCGCCGCCTCGTTGTCCAGGCATGGGATGAAATCCGGACCCTCCGTTCGGCAGAGCGGGAACACGGGAGCAGACACCTGGTTTGCGTTGGGAAGGTGGGAAGAGGAGCGGAGAAAGCGACTTGAAACGAGTAACTGTTTTGCTCGTTTGGAGAAGATTCTGAAGCCTTACCTCCGGGAAACTCCCGGTGAAACGGTTGTGGGCGGAATAAGAAGCCCAGCAAATCACCAACACGTTTCGTGTGAAGAGCAACAAGAGAACGGAGGAAAAAAGGACCAAACACGAGTATAGGCCGTGTGTAAGTAGTTAAATTTTGAGGCGTCTCAAAACTAAACTACTTACACACAGAGCAACAAGAGGACGGAGGAAATGAGGAGCGTACACGAGTTCAGGCCACGGATCTCCTGTTGCGCTGACTCAGAACGCACCTTGACTTCCGCTGCTTCCGCCTCCATTGCGTGAGGGCCGTTCACAAAGCCCTGGGGGAAGGGATGAGAGCACAGAATGGGGGGGGGGTGGGGAGACGAGGGGAGGATGTGGTTTTGCGGCGAAGGTGCCTTGACTTCCGCTGCTTCTGCCTCCATTGCGTGAGAGCCGTTCACAAAGCCCTGGGGGAAGGGATGAGAGCACAGAATGGGGGGGGGGGGGTGGGGGGAGACGAGGGGAGGATGTGGTTTTGCGGCGAAGGTGTCTTGACTTCCGGTGCTTCCGCCTCCATTGCGTGAGGCCGTTCACAAAGCCCTGGGAATGGGGGTTACTAGGGAGGGGAAACACAGGGGGGCGGACGTGATTGCGCGGCGAAGGTACCTTGCCTTTTGCGCCGTACACCTCCATCGTGCGCGGGCAGTTCGGAAAGTCCTGCGCGCCGTCGGGGGGTGTCAGGGGTTGCGAGGGGGGAAAGGGGGGAGGGGTGGGAGAAGGGGTTTTCTCGAGAGGGTAGGCGAGGGGGCGTGGGTCTGTGGGCGACGACTTTTGCCCTCCGCTGCTTCCGCTTCTAGTGAGTAAGGGCCGTTGACCGTGCGAGCCGGTGTCGGGGGTTGCGGGGCAAAACGAAGTTCGTGGACGAGGGAAATGAGTGAGGAGGGGGAGAGGTGAGAGGCGGAATAGCATAGAGCGCTCCGCGCAGCATATCGTTGTCTGGCGGGAGGCAGCAGGACAGAAGAAAAGTGAGCGTTAACGGAAGGCACCAGGCAAGTAACGGATTCCGTCATACCGTGAACGACTGCGCAGGTTCCATCACGTCGGGGTCGGCGGCTTCCGTCACGTCCAAAACGCCGTCTTCTGGCGATTCCACCTCCACCGTCACGCTTGACGGCCGCTGGAGGTTGGCCGTCACACCTGACGGCTGAGAATCGACCAGTGACGAGACGACGACTGTCGACTCTATCTGCGAGTAAGACAACCCCCAGTGCCCGTAAGGACCGAAAATGATATGAGAAAACGGCAACGATGTGATGCCAACCCGATGAGTTGGAAACGCGTCGACTAGCACTACTAAATGTGCATTCGTTTCTGCAGGTACGAATCACAGTCGGTTTGTAAGGTGACAGAGGGCCGTATGCTTGTGCTCCGCATACTCTCGGCGTTTCACTGACGTTCTTCTCAACTCCAGAGTCTCGTTCGCCAATTTTTGGCCAGTCGACTAGGGAGTCTTTCTCGAGAACATATGGCCTTGATTCGCCTCCACATTACAAACTTCGCCAATGTAAGATTTCTAGTAGAACCAAGCTCACTCGGGAAAAGAAACCCGGGTTAACACCACGCTCCGAGCGTTTTGATTAGGAATATTATCCGACGCATGAACGACGTAACCAGGTAACGGGGTCTCCTAGATTACCTGCGATCTTCCAGGCGCGAGGAAGATCCAGACAGCTAGCAGGCACATGACGGCGAAAACCGTCGTGCAAACCGTGTTAACGACTTCCGTCGACCATGGCCGCTTCCCCACTACAGTCGGCAACCGCGCGATTCGCGCGGTCCACGTCAGCCGAACCGAGTCGAATGGCTTCGCGACGAGCGACGCCATGAACAGTGGATCCTTCTTCTTGCTATCAATGGGGTCCTGGCGTGCTCGACGCCGGCCGTTAAACTCTTTAGAAAACTGAAACATATCGGCTACGTTAAAAAAACGACGCTCGGCTACGTTATCGTACTGGGCTAGCAAGGCTCTCGTTGTCGGCTGGGAGCATGTACCTTCTTCCTGACTAAGCTTTCGAATCAATCACTACGCGTCACAGACCAGGGAGAGACGCGCGGACGTGTTCTACAAACGAGCATGCAACAAGGAAAGGGCAATGGTTCGAATTCCACTTCTGTAAGCTGTCCTCGAAGTCGCGTCTCGCGAAGTAAACATAGACGTAGGCCACGGCAGGGTACATTAGGGAGAAACGGTGGTAGGAAACGGCCTCGGGCCCCTCGTTACTTAGCTGACGTCAGCGAACAGTCAAGTAAGACTCGAGGTCGCTGAAAGAAACCTAGGGAAAATAATCTCGAGGAAAAGAAAGCTGATTGACTCGTGACTTGTGAGTCGTAGCAGGAGGCCCTCTTCCTTCGCATATTCCCAATGCCCGTCCCGTCCCGTCCGCTCGATGGCCGCACGTCACGCCACGCAATTGTACCACCTTGACGCGAGACGCCGCTTCCAGCATCCCAGAAGGCCGTTTGGCAATCCCAAAGGCGAGGGTACTGCAGCGTGGCTTGTGTATGCATGGGGTGGGATGGGTTGGCTGGCTTGGGCGGGCGGAGTAAGGGGCCAATGGGGGGAAAGGGAGAAGGAAAGGTGATTGCAGGTTTGATGGCATCCACCAAGTAGTTTCGGGGCGCGGCTAGGCATGCCGTGGCGAGATGGACGGTGAAGATTGGCCAATGCTGAAAGTGTGTGCACAAAACTCGAGCCGCCGCGTAGAGCGGCAATACCAATGTTATCAGTCAAATAATAGATTATATCGGGGTTATCGAGATCCATATTCATGTGCATTATATGTTGTGACGCATAACGATTATAGAACATAGGTACAACTTGTGGGCAAAAGCCATATGCTGGATCAATGGGGATGTTGAGATGGCTTTTGCAACATTTCCTACAATCGATACCATCCCTACGATCCACTGACGAAAAAAGGTGGAGGCAGACCAAGAGAGCGCAAGCCGGGAAACCAAGGTGGCCATTGTACAGTAAGACAAGGGGAATTTCCAATAGTGCTCTTCCAAAGCACATACAGGCAGGAGAACCAGAAACACTTTCTTTTCACAACTCTTATCTGCCCCCTACGCTTTCTGGCGAGCTCAACAGAAGTGCAGGTCTAGTGCGTAACCGCCATCAGGGTCTCTTTTGCGGAGCTTAGAACCGCAGCTTGGAGAAGAACCACCGGTTCTTGCCCGTCTTGAAGCGCTCCTCAAACACCTTCTTCAGCTCCTGGGATGGCATAAGGGTGGCACGAGGGAGGGTGAAAACAATAGCAGACGGAATGAAAATGGGCTAATGAGGACAAAACAAGGGGGGGAATTTCAGCACGACCACAGATAGGCAGATTTCACAAAAGGCAAGCAAACGGCATCCTTCTGCCAACCGCTTTTCTGACGAAAAGCCAGCCCAGACCCATCCTTTTGAGGCGCCTCAAAACATCCCTCTGCCACCTGCTTTTCTGATGAAAAGCCAGCACAGACCCCTCCTCTCTCTTCCCCCAACCTCCAGTCCTCCCCCATACCCAGCCCAAACCCAACACAGGCCATTTCCTCTCTCTGTCCCTCCTGTCCTTGCTCCCGCCTCTCATTCCTCCTCCTCTCTCCCCGTCGCCCCCTCTCCATCTCCCCCACCTCCTCTCCCCATGTCTCATCTCACCATCACTCCTCCCCCCATATCTCCTACCTCCATATCTCCTCCCCCCATCTCTTCAACTCCCCCCTCCCTCACCTTCTTGGTCTCCACCCGCTTGGCCGAGCTCTCAAGCTTGTCGGCCGTCACTGTGCTCTTGAGGTCCACGTCCAGCTGGTACCTGCAGTCAACGCAAGTCAACGGGGGTCAATGAAAGTCAATGGGAGTCAATCAGAGTTAATGGACGGCCAAGCTTGTCGGCCGTCACTGTGCCCTTGAGGTCCACGTCCAGCTGGTACCTGCAGGAGGTCCTCAATGGTACCTGGGGCAGCCAACGGGAGCAGTCAACGGGGTCAAACACAGTCAGCACCATTCAAGACAGGCCAAGGTTTCCGGCTGTAACCGTGCGTCTCTAAGGCTCACATCCAGCAAAGAGGCACTCGACAAGAGTCAACGCGGCCAAACGGGGAATGTGGAGAGGGGAGGGGGGAAGGGAGAGGGAGGTGGGATGCTGAGGGAAGGGGGGGGGGGGGGGGGGGGAGGGGGGGGGGTGATCTGGGAGGGGGCATTAATGGGAAGCGGGGGAAGCGGGAGATGGATGTTAGAAAAACCTTTGAGTCAGGGATGACTCAAAAGTCATCTCGATGTGGGGAAAGAGGAGAGGAGGGATGTGCGGGAAGAAGGGAGAGGGGTTGCCTAACGCGCGTCGCCATGAAGTGACTAAATGCCTGGTGGGCATGAGGCGGTTTGTTAGCTTCTGGGCAAGCGGTAATTAATACGCGGGCATGAGGTGATTCATTACCGAGTGCGCATGAGGTGATTGTATGAACGAGCTTGATGAAGGCCTTTCCTTGAGAGCGCTTCGCGAGGAGATTAACTACCTAGCGGTCATAAAGGGATTCATTACCGAGTGGGCATGAGGTGGTTGTAGTTAACGAGCTTGATGAACGCCTTCACTTGGGAGCGCTTCGCGAGGGTCTTGGGTGTGAGCTTCTTAGTGACCTGGAGAGAAGGGGGGAGAGAGAGAAGGGAAGAGAAGGGAAGAGAGGGGAAGAGGGGAAGAGGGTAAGAGAGGAGAGGACTGAGCATTTTGCGAGGGTCTTGGGAGTGAGCTTCTTCGTCAACTGGTGGGGGGCAAGGGAGAAAGGGGGAGTGGAGGGGGGTGGGGGTTTGGGGGGAGGACGAAAGAGCGGAAGTGTGGGGGAGGTGGGAAGGAAAAGGAGAAGGGAGGACTGAGCGGTTCAAGAGGGCCTTGGGAGTGAGCTTCTTCGTTACCAGACGGTCCTACAGGTGCCTCCTTCAGGAACCACGGTTAAAGGCCGCTAGGTAGTTAACCTCTCAAGCGCGAGACCGTGCGAACGCTTCAGGAAACACGGTTAAAGGCCGGCGAAAGCACGAGCTATGCGAAGTGAGTGAGTGCTTGACTTCCCGATCCTCGCACGCCCAGTATCACAACCCTTTCATCACAACCCTTCCATCTCGAGATAAGAGTGCTCTGGGGGGAACCCTAAGAAGTCATCCACGCACGCCCGATATCACAACAATTCCATCTCGAGACGCGAGTGCAGTTGGGGGAACCCGAAGACCAGTTTAACGCGTCATCTCAGCCGTCGATCTACATCCGCAAGACGAGTATCCTGAGGGAGACAATGCGAACAGCGCACGCCGCGCTCTCGAGGGAGCAGAGCTGGAGCGCTAGAGTCGACTGCGTTGCCCTACACCTTGCCCTACAAGCTGCAGGATCCACTTTAAATAGTAGTCGCTGGGGTGAAACTAGGCCTGAGTGATGGCTTGTTGCTCGAGCGCGAAAAACGAGAAACTCCATGCTAACGGTCCTTTCGCGTTCAAGACCACGTGCACGTTCGCACGTTCGCACGGTCGCACGGTCGCACGGTCGCACGGTCGCGCAGTCGCACGGTCTCGCGTTTCTGTCTGCAGGCTTCAAACGTTGACGTTTATGCCGCCTCATCGTCTCTCCAGATCGACGGTGTTGCCGTAATTTTCCAATCAACGATGTTTCCTTAACCGTTCGATAGACGCTGCTTCTCCCAGCTAACGGCGCGGCACCCTGACGATCGACTAGTGTCGTAATCCAATCGAATCTACCTTAATGGGCCAATTGACACGAGGAGCGACGACTTAATACTCCGCAACGAAGGGAACGCGCAAGAACTGCCACGTCGGGGGCCACGGTGGCAGATTCTTCTCCACGTCACATCCCACGGCACACGCCGGGTCACATCTACGCCACGCCGTACCAAAGACGGCACCCTCACCTTGCGCGGGTACTTGGAGATCCCGGCAACGAGTGCGTGGCCGTACTGTCGGCCGGCAACTCCGTCGTCGAAGTTCTTAACGATCACCGCCTTGCGGCCGGCATACCGGCCCTGCAGCACCACCACCACCTTGTTGGGCTTCAGAAACTTCACCATTGTGACTGTAACGGGGGGACGGGACGGACTACAGACGCGGGAAACAGGCTGAGGGGCAGACGCCCGAGGCTCCTAAAGCTGCCTAGGGTTGGTGGTGGGAGGGAGAAAGGGGTAAGTGGAGGAGGAGGGGAACGGATATGCTCGCTAAACCCTAAACGGCTTTCCCCGCTGTCCCAGCCCCCCTGCTGCTGCCCCTACGACGCTGCTGCCGCTGCTGCGCCAGTTGTGCTACGGCCACCCTTGGTTGGTATGCCTAGATTTGCCCAGCACTTGTGCGAATTCAGGTTACCGGATGTCGTCATTTCTGCAGAGTGGCTTTTCATTTCGCGCATACGGAGATTTGTGCTGCGCCAAGTCCTCCAGAATTGCACGAAGTTGGGAAATTTCGCCTACGTGTGTCGTGTGTGATTAGTGTAAGCTCCTCGCCAAGAACATGTGAAAGGATGGTGGTAAGCCACGCAGCCTGGGGCTGGAAAACTCGCTGTAACGTAAGAAACCAATCCCTGAAAACAGCTAAAACAATAACACGAGTAATCACCTACACCCAAAACATAAATCATTCATAAGACTTTCCACAACAAACGAGCCTACGTGGTGTCCACTATGATTTGAGCTCTAAAAGCCTCCTACTGTGCAAAACCACCATAAGCCAGAAAAGGTTGCCCTAATTGGTACGGTATGACTTGTATGTACGCACCATTTCCATCTTGTATGCAACTCAGCCAATACTAGACCAACATCCTTGGGGTAGTAGCATCATCGCAGGTGTGCACCAAACCACGGATGCGCTGCAAATAAACAACGAAGGCACAAGAATGAGAATGCATCACATAGAGTATACGGAACAAAAGCTTACATGGGGAGTGAACGCATGCTTCATGCTGATGTATGGACGGTGTTGTGCATGGATGAACTTGCACTGAAGTGTGAGATCACGAAGAAAACAGAACGCAGGAAGGGGAATGGAGAAGGAGAACGGGAGAAAGCCAAATGCAAAAGGACAGGGGGGAGAGGGTGGGGGGAGAGTAGGGGGGGGATAACTTACCAAGGGCACCCAAGGCAGTTATCCTCTTTTTAGTGTCCCTCGTTAGCATCTTCTTGATCAGATCCACCGCCTCTGCACTCACTCCTCGCCACACATCCCCTCTAAAGCTCGCCTTTGCTTCCTTTATAGCTTTGATAACGCCGGCTTCGGTGCGCGCCCAAAAGGGCGGGACACCGGCCAGCATAACATAGAACACCACTCCGGCACTCCAGATATCAGCAGGAAAGGAGTAGCTGCCTTCCACCACCTCTGGTGCAACGTAGTATGGCGACCCCATAAATTCACTCAGGGGCTTGGAGCCTGTGGATAGGGGGAGTGGTGGGGGGGAAGAAGGATGAAGCAAGGACTATGAGTCGCATGGAGCACCACTCCGGCACTCCAGATGTCAGCAGGAAACGAGTGGATGAATTTTTAGTCGACTAAAAATCTGCAACTTCCACCACCTCTGGAGCAACATAGTATGGCGAACCATGAACTCCATCAGGGGTTTGGCACCTGTGTTATGGGAGGGGAGGAGGGGGAGGAGGAGGGGGGGAGAGATTGGGGATGTCGTTTTACTCGTAAAGAGAGTCAAAGCTCACTCGGTTTCCTGATAGCAGTGATGCCAAAGTTGATAACCCATCAGTCGGAGAGGGAAGCTGTGACTGAGGAGCATGTTCTCTTGACCTACCTGAAGGCATCTGACAACTCACCCTAAGCCAGCTGAAAGCTCACCTGGTTTCACGGTAGCAGCAATGCCAAAGTCAATGACCCGACAGTCTGAGAGTGACTGCTGCGACTTGAGGAGGATGTTCTCTGGCTTGATGTCGCGATGCACTATGCCGTGCTGGTGGCAGTGCGCCAGCACAGACAGCACCTGAGGGGGATAAAGAGGACAGGTGGAAGGGGAGGGGGGGGAAAGGGGGGGAGGGGGGGAGGGGAGGGGAGGGGAGGGAAGGGGATAGGGGCGTAAGAGGATGTTGTCTGGCTTGATGTCGCGATGCCCTACTGGTGGCAGTGCGCTAACAGTGAGAGCACCTGAGTGGGGGGAGGGGGAGGGGAGGGGAGGGGAGGGGAGGGGAGGGGAGAGGGTGTTGGGAGGCGGGGGGGGGGAGTGGGGAAGGGGATAGGGGCGTTCGAGGATGTTTTACGGCTAGATGTCGCGATTCACTATACCCTGCTGGTGCCCGCGCATTAGCACAGAGAGTGCCTGATCGGAGGGGGAAGGGGAGGAGGAAGGTGGAAGGAAAGGTGGGGGGGGGGAGATAGGGACGTACGAGGGTATTTTCTGGGTTGATGTCACGATGCACAATGCATGATGCACTGCCGGTGGCAGTTGGCTGGCACAGACACCACATGATTTAAAATTCCACTTAATCTGAGATGACAAATTCCATCTCACCTGTGCATCCCGCTCGTCCAGCTGCCATCTCTCTGTCACATAGCCTCCTCTCCTCCCAGCAGCTCTACCCTGCTATGCCTAGCCTGGATCCCAGACTGCTTTGCCCACCCTGCGCTTGTATGTGATGAGTTCCGACTTCCCTGACTAAATCTCGCACCCTGATCCTCTTAAAGCGAGGATCTCAAGAAGCACGAAACCAAATCCAAAAGGTTTGGAATCGGGTTGGCGAAATGAGCGAAACAGTAACATCGACCCCCCAACACCCCTCACTACAACTCACAATTTTCGCGACCCCCCGAAACCAAAACCTTTGGGTTTGGTTTTCTGCTTCTTGAGATCCTCGCTTTAACTGCACCTCTGTCCAGCCTCCCTACATGGATCTAGCGTTGCGCAAGAGTAATTCCACTAGTAAGAGAGCATACAGGCTTTCCAATGATAACGAGAGAACAAACAGAGTAGCAACAACTACCCTTCCTACCTGCTTTTGTGCTACTCCTCCTAGCAGTCCCACTTCCGAGCCAAACCCAACCCTCCCAGCTGTTTCTGCCGCGCACCGTTTCGGGATTTTCTCCGCCAGTGATTCGATGGCAGGAATTACGAGGCCCCGTAATTCCTGCCATCGACTCATTCGGGATTTTCTCCCCCATTCGCCGCATGCCACCGTCCGAATCGCTCCTCCTGCTCGCTTACGTGTCATGCCCCAACCTGCTTCCTCCCCAGCTGGCCAACCGCTCCCAGCTCGCCCATCACTGTACCCTTATCAAAAGTGTCGTCAGCTATGTACACTATATACACTTACAACTTTCGATCAACCTTCACATTCTTCACCTGCACCTCCCCCGCTGTCCCATGAACCTCGGTAACGGGTACTACGAGGTTTCTGCGACATCTCCTTGACTTGATCAGAGGAACACCTCCATCACATTGCATTACCATCACATTGCATTACCATCACATTGCATCACCATCACATTGCATTACCATCACATTGCATTACCATCACATTGCATCACCATCACATTGCATTAACATCACATTGCATCACCATCACATTACATTACCATCACATTGCATTACCATCACATTGCATTACCATCACATTGCATCACCATCACATTGCATCACCATCACATTGCATTACCATCAGAATACATCAGTCCATCTCACCTGCTGCATGATCCCCTGAGCGTCCCTCTCGTCCAGCCGCCGTCTCTCCTTGATGCGGTCGAACAGCTCGCCCCCGTGGCACAGCTCCATCACCAGATGCACCGCCTGGTGTGGGAGTCGTAGATGGATCACAGGAGAGAGCCCGGTTATTAAAAAAAAAAAAAAAAAAAAAAAAAAAAAAAAAGCCATCGTTTCAGTTATGTGGCCAGCCTGATATGACCCAGCTCCATCACCAGATGCACCGCCTGTCGTGCATGATTGTGCCATGCCATGTTGTGCCATATAATGCCATGCCATGCAATGCATTAAAAGCGAAATGGTGCAATTGGAACACTACTACCGCTAAACCATTTGTAATTCTCAACATTGCATTATGCATGTACTTCGCGGTCTGATTATTAATCTCAAAAGATTAATGTTACCTCGTCGTCCTCAAACACGTCCTCCAGCTTCGCCACATTGGCATGCCCGCCCACCATCTCGTGCACCATCACCTCCCGCTTCACTCCCTCCACGTCCGCCTTGCTCTGTGGGGAGATGCATTAGGGTAGAGGGTCCACGTTTTGGGGGGTGGGGGTATAAGGGAGTAAGCTTACGAGCGGCTCAAACACCATCTCATGCACCATACCATCACCTCCGGCTTCACTCCCTCCACGTCCGCCTTGCTCTGCTGGGGGAGGCATTAGGGTTGAGGGTTTAGGAGTGGGTGCAACCAGACCGGGCGGCAACTGGCGTGCAAGTCGATCAGCAAAGGGGACCTAAAGGTGAGAGTGCAAGGGGGGAGAGGGATGAGTGGGGGGCTGTGCTGTGCACAGAAAGTATGTGGGACAACAAGTGAAACGAGTATCATGGAGGCGGGTGAAACGAGTGGTGGCGGTGCATGGGATGGTGCATGCGACGGTGCATGCGATGGTGCATGCGATGGTGTTGAGCATACCTTAAGGTATACTCCCTCTCTCCCTCCCATGCATCCTCCCTTCTCCCTCCCATGCAACCCTGATGCCCCCCCCACAGAGCAAGGCGGACGTGGAGCGGGTGAAGCGGGAGGTGATGGTGCAAGGAATGGTGTCTTGAGGTGCATGGGATGGTGTCTTGAGGTGCATGGGATGGTGTCTTGAGGTGCATGGGATGGTGTCTTGTGGTGCATGGGATGGTGTCTTGTGGCGCATGGGAGGGCGTCTTGTGGCGCATGGGATGGTGTCTTGTGGTGCATGGGATGGTGTCCTGTGGTGCATGGGATGGTGTCCTGTGGTGCATGGGATGGTGTCTTGTGGCGCATGGGATGGTGTCTTGTGGTGCATGGGATGGTGTCTTGTGGTGCAAGGGATGGTGTCTTGTGGTGCAAGGGATGGTGTCTTGTGGTGCCTTGTCCCTCCCAGCGATCATCACCTCACCTCACCCAACTCCATCTCCCCTTTCTCCACCCCCCGTTCCCCACCCTTCCCCCTCACACTCTCGCCTTCAGATTCCCTTTGTTGATCCACTTGCACGCCAGTTGCCGCCCGGTCTGCTAGCACTCCACCCCACTCCACCCCACAACCCCCCGAAACCCAATCCCCTCGTATCAACCTTTTGGGTCCCCTTTCTTGAGCCTCACCTTCAGATCCCCCTTGTTTGATCGACTTGCACGCCAGTTGCCTGCCACCTGGTGTGGTGGCACTCCACCCCACTCCACCCCACTCAACCCCACAACCCCCCGAAACCCAATCCCCTCGTATCAACCTTTCAGATCCCCTTTGCTGAGCCTCACCTTAAGATCCCCTTTGTTGATCGACTTGCACGCCAGCTGCCGGCCGGTCTGCTTGCACTGCACCACCCGCGTCACTCCAAACTGCCCCGCCCCAAGCTCCTTCTCCATCATCACATACTTCTTCTCCAGCCGCCCAAACTCCCGCCCCAGCACGCTCCCCCCCCCACTCCCGAAAAAACCCCTCTTCATCTGCGCCAGTCCCCTCTTGGCAAACCCTAGCAGCCCGCCCTTCTTGCTTGACTTGAAAAAGGACGTTTGGATTTCTTCCACGGTGCACGCTGTGTCCCCTTCCACCGCCCCCACTGCATTCAGGTCCTCCGAAGAGAGCGACGAGAGGCGGGAGATCTTCTTCTTCTCTCCTCCCCCCTTGTCGTCAGCAGGCGAAGCAGAGGCAGAGGCAGAGGTGGAGGCACGGGATGATTTCGGGCTATGGGGACTGCTAGGCCCGCCCCCACCTGCACCCCCCCCCCCACTCCCCCCACTCCCTATGCTTGCAGAGCTTCGGAGGGGAGAGTCGCCCTCGATAGAAGCACGTCTGGGTAGAGGCACGCGCGGCTGCTGCTGCTGCGACTGCGATCGCGGCATTTGTGAGTGTGCGGAGTGTGACTGTGAGGAGTGTGACTGTCCCACGTATTTTCTCTCCACAGCCCCCCCCCCAATCAGCGCACCCATGTCCATGCTGGCCCCACGGGCAATGCGCCCCTTGCTCTCCCCATCCGCACTTGCTTGCCTGGGGATCCCACCCCCCGGCCTCCCTCCCCGATTCCTCTCCCTCTCCCGTTCCCTTTCACGCTCCATCTCCCTTTCTCTCTCCCGCTCCCGCTCCCTATCCTTCTCTCTTCCCCATCCGGCATCCACACTCGCTTGCCTTGCCATCCGAGGCATTCGCCTTACATCTTCAAACTTTCCCCTCTCCCTCTCCCTCTCCCTTTCCCTGTCTCTGTCTCTGTCCCTATCCCTGTAATCGTCAACGCTTGACTGTCGAGGCACCCTCTCCCTCCTCTCCTCCCGATCCCTCTCCCTTTCCCTCCTCTCCTCCCACTCCCTCTCTGCCCCACTGTCCACACTCGCTTGCCGCATAATCCTCCCCCTCCTCTCCTCCTTCTCTCCTCCTCTCTCACCCCTCCTCTCCTCCCTCTCTCTCTCCCACCCCCCACTATCCACACTCCCTTGTCGAGGAACCCGAGGGATCCTATCCCCCCGCCTCTCCTCCCTTTCTCTCTCTGGCCCCCCACTATCTACACTCCCTTGTCGAGGGACACGCGGGATTCTATCCCCTCGTCTCTCCTCACTTTCCCTCTCCCGTCCCCCACCATCTACACTCGCTTGTCGGGGCACACGTGGAATTCTGGCCCCTCTCCCTTCGTCTCTCTCCCCCCTCCTCTCCACTCTTCCCTCGTCTCTCTCCCCCCTCCCCTCTCCCCTCCTCTCACCCCTCCCCTCCTCCCTCTCCCCCTTCTCAAGGCTGCTTTGCCGGCTCATTCTTGCTCTCCTCTCTCCCCCCTCCTCCTCCTCATATCTTCTCATCATCGCGCCTCCCTCACTCACTTGCCTGGGCAGTCTCCCCCCTCTCTCTCCTCTCTCCCCTCTCTCCCCTCCCCTCCCCCCCCAATCCCCTCCTTTTCCTCCTCCAGTGAATACCGCCTCCTATTCGACCTCACCCTCTCATCCCCGTCATAAGCCTCCTCCCCGCCTATAGACAAGCCTCTAGCTGGAAAAACCGGTGGCAGGCCAGGCGGGAGGCCTGAAGACGGCCCTTTCCCTCCCCTCCCGTCCTTCCCAAACGCGTCCTCCCCCTTCTCCCCTCTCCCCTCCTCCCAATGGCCCCGCCTGGGGTCCAAGGGAAGGCTCTCCTGCCTCTGTGTTTCCATGCCAGCAGCAGCAGCAGCAGCAGCAGCATCCAGGTCCAGAGAGGTTTCAAAGGCGGAATCGCTGCTGGTGGAAATGCTTCGCTCTGACAGCGACTTGCGCAGAGTGCGCGCTCCTCCTGGTGCTGTTGGGAGGGGAGGGGAGGGGAGGGGAGGGGAGGGGAGGGGGAGGAGAGGAGATGGGCCGGACTGAGTGCGAGTTCACAACGTGAGGGATCTCAAGGGCAGGCTCTCCTGTCTTTGTGCTTCCGTACCAGCAGCAGCAGCAGCAGTAGCAGCAGCATAAGTCCAGGGCGGTGTCAAAGGCTGCATCGCTGCTGGTGGAAATGCACTCGCCTCAGGAGGAAGGAAGCCCCTTTCTTGCAGCTTGGCAGCGCAATTAGCACTGGAGGTAAACTGTGTATTGCAGTTATATTCACGTGGAATACTGCGAAAAAATGTGATTAATTTCACCTCTTACATTGGATATTGCCCGCTCCTCACCTGCTTTAGGAGGCAGCCCCCGTTCACGCAGCTTGGTAGCACCGTCAGCACTCCGGGTACTGTATATATCGCGGCTATCATCACTTTGAAAGGCGTTTATCCTGTTTCTAGCCCCATCTCCCTCTTCCCACTCCTCCTCCTCCTGCTGCCTCTCCCTATCGCTTCTGCCGTCCTCCCCTCTCCTCTCTGCCCCTCCCTCCTCTTCCGAGTCTTCATCTCCCGTGAACCGCTCTCCCCTCCTCTCCCCCGCACTGAACCGCTCTCCCCTCCTCGCCTCCCCATCCTCACTCTCACTCCCTTCTGGTGACTCATCCCTCTGACCCTCCCCCTCCCTCCGCCTCTCCACCACCCTCCCCTTCCCACGCCACCCCTCCTCCTCCTCCTCATAGTCGTCACTATCAGAATCCTCCCTCCTCTCTCCCCTTGGCTCCTCCTCTTCCCCATCCCCATCCCCTCCCCCCTTTCTTGCCCTTCGTTTCCCTTCCCTTCTGCCCTCCCCCCTGCCCCCGCTCTCACCGTACTCGTTATAAGCCCGCTCATACCCTTTCTCTTCGGGCCCTGAATCCCCACTTTCATCTGAATCACGGTCTCTATAATGACGCTCTTTATAGTCACGCTCCTTATAATCACGCTCGTCCAAGTTCCGCTCGTAATCATTGTCAATTTCTCCACCCCGTCTCCTTCCCCCTTCCCCATTCCTCTCCCTCTCATATCCTCTCTCCCTTTCCCCCTCCCACTCCTCCTCCCCTCTCCTCCCCTCCCCTCTCCGCCTCCCCTCCCGCTCCCTCCCCGCCCGCGCTCCCCCCGCGCCGGGCGGCGGAGTGCCACGTGGCGGCCGCTCAGCCTCCGTGCTGTTTTGCCGCCGGAACAACCTTCCCCCGGTACCACCGCCCCTGCTACCGCCGCCCGTCCCCGGCCGCTCGTCCCATCCCGGAGACGTCGTCCCGTGCAATCCGGGCGGCGTATGAGGCGAGCCGCTACAAGACAAAGATCTGCCGCCCGCGGAAATCGCGGATGCTCCGCTTCCGCCGCCGCCGCCGCCGCTCACGGGGATGCGACCGCCCTCGCCTCTACTCGGCGTGCTCGGCCTCTGAAGCGGCGGCTGCTGTTGCTGCTGCGCTGCCGGCCGGCCGCCGGAACTTGACGGCCGGGCGACGGCCGCGGGACGGCCGCCGCTTGTAGACGGCCGCGCGGGCTGCTGACTGGTCGGCGACTGCTGCTGCTGCTGCTGTAGCAGGGTCATGACTTGGCGCGCTTTGGCGGCCTGACGGGTGTTGGCGGCGGTATCCGGCTCTTGGAGCTTCTCCATGAGTGCCGCGGCTTTCGACAGCTGCTGCTGAGACACGGGGGCGCCTCCCCCCACGGAGGAGGAGGCGGTGCGGCGATGGGATTTGTCGTTCTTGCTCGCCATCGCGGGGAAAAATAAATATGGGATTCTGGAAGGGGGTGGTGGTGGTTTGGGGGGGGTGTGGGGAGGGGGGAGGGGGGTTGGGTTCCCCGAGGAAGAATGGAAGCTTGCGGGGAGTCGTCAGGAGAGAATGCGGTGAGTGGGGACTGCGGTGCGTTGTATGACTCTGTGGGGGGAAGAGAAGGATTTGAGGCCTAGGCTTTAAAACTGACTACGCCGTAGAATGCAGACTAAGATACCAGCCACAACCTAGAATGCAGTCCAGAACACTAACGAGGCTCGAGAATGCAGCCTTGGGATGCTAACTACTTGATAGGACGCCAAGCGGGATCAGGCAGACCGAACCCTCATCATAAACAAAAGAAAGAAAGAAAGAAAAAACCCGTTGGAATGCCAACCTGGATTCACCAAATCGAGGTTTCCTCTTACCACTGGTCGAAAACCCTTCTGCGATGAACGAATCTCCGCGAGCGAAGAACCAGAGCAGGAGAGTCAGAAGCAGCTGCTACTACGCATAGTGCGACTGTTGCTGCTGCTGCTGGCGTTGGTGCTCGTACCTCGCATTGGTGGTACTGCTGCTACTAGTGATGCTGCTACTGCTGGTGCAGCACAGCATGCTGCTGCTGCTATTGATATTGCTGCTGGTCCAGCTGATTCCTGGTTCCTGAACCTGGGGAGGGATGATCTCGAGGCTCCTTCTGAGCTGCTCCTTGAGGGCGTGCTCGGAAAGCATCTTTTACTGTTTAATGTTCAATTCGACTCGGGAACACACGAGAAATTCTGGTATGACACGAGAAACAATCTCTAGGGAAAATTTCTGAGCTACACTTTTTCCACTCGAGACGCATTTCCGCTGAATTTCGCTACCAAGCTGTATGCTCTTTGAACGCGCAGCAGGTCTACCCGACAGCTGGATGGATAGGCACCAGGGCAAGTGGAATGGATGGAGGGGGGGATGCCATGGCATGTCAGTACGAGGTAGGTACGAGGATTTATCTCTCTCAAGAACACAGTCGTTAACACACTCTGGCATATCTGAGCTCTGTAACGCTACATTGGAATTTCGTCCACCAACAATCTATTATTTCCTTTCATGACAGTTTCATCACAACATTCCAGAGCCTCTGTAAGGAATTTTATTCCTTACCGGGTTGTACTGCAATCGCGTACACCCGAACTCTCGGAACACCAGGCTCGGTCCGTTTCCGACGCGACCCCGAGGCACGCCCGCGCCGCCTCCGATCCTTTCGACCGCGCCTGTACCCAACCTAGCCTTCCGGCTTCGTCGCCTAGCTAGAGCTCTCGCTATATAATGCTAGGCTAGCATTCTTGTACTCGTCATTATTATTCCGCGCACTCTCAGTTATTATTCATAACATCTGGTATCAGAGCTACTTTCCTGGTTCACCCCGCTTTCTCAAGGTAGTTTATTTCCAAGGCGTGGTTAACCCAGTGGGGCTGCAAAGCGGTTGTCCGTGAGCTAGAGTTATTAGCTCACACAGCTACGATAGCGTTTGCGCCCCCTACGGTTTCTTACCACGGCCTTTCCCCTGCCCGAAAGGCGTAGCATTCGCATCATGTCCCAGGCCCAGCTAGACGAGGTCATGGCTCAGATGCAGGCAATGCAAGCCCAGATGGCGAGTTTGAACAGTGAAGTCGTGAGACTTCGGACGGAGAACACCGAGCTTCGCCAGACGCGTGGTGAAGCGCGTCAGGAGTCGCCTGGAATCGCCGACGACGAGGTCAAGCAAGGTGCCGACGACGCAGCGAGCGAAACCGTCCTTGACGAGCTCGCACGGGAGTTGGAGCAGGACGACGTGCGTATTGTGATTGTAACGAAGATTAAACTCAAGCCAGCAACACCGCCCCCGTTCAACCCTTCGGACAAGGCAACGACGGTGCAAGGGTGGTTGTTCAGCATGGAGCTATTCTTCACGGCGGCAAGTGTGCATACGGATGACGCGCGCATAATTATGCCGTGTCGCTGCTCCGAGGACCGGCGTTGGATTGGTGGCGACGACAGTTGGCGATTGGGACTCCGGCAGGAGTGAAGCAGGCGAAGGACGAGACTTTGGACTCTTCAAACCAACAGGCAGAAACAAAATTCGGTACGTCCATGATTCGCACGTGGAAACAATGGGGCACAGCTCTGCGAGCTCGTTTTGAGCATTCATCCGCCTCAGACGACGCTCGCATGAAGCTGCACAACTGGCGGCAGGTGACTACTGTTCAAGATTACACTGCGTCGTTCTCGGCACTTGCGGACCAAGTCGACGACCTCAGCGAAGCGGAAAGGTGGGGCAAATACGTTAGCGGGCTGCATTTTGATATTCAATACGAGTTGCAGCGGTCCTCTCCCAAGACGTTCGATGAAGCTGTCCAGCTGGCGTCAGCAGCCGATGCACTGCAGCAGTGGGCGAGAAATAACAACATGGATGTTGGTCGTTTTCGTGGACAGTCTCCCCGCCCCACGATCAATGGCGTGTCAGCACCCGATGAAATATTTCACGGGCTATGCTTTCGATGTGACAAGCCAGGTCACCGAGCTAAGTACTGCCCGACGGCGCCCAAGAAGACGAAGAATGACAAGGAGAAGCCGGGAAATGGGAAAAGTCAGTAGCAGATGGGCCCCCTACTGACGAGGCTTTGTCGCCCGAACTTCAACGTTCCCACCAAGTTGTGGTACCGATACACGCTATCGACCGCACTCGGACGAATAACGGGAGCGAACCTGAAGATCACCCTGTGCTGGTCGAAGGCAAGGTTAACGGCAAAAAAATAAAATTATTTATGGATGGCGGAGCTAGTCACAGTCTCATTCACGTAACAACACCGAAGCAGTTGAAGCTGATGTTGGAAAAATGTCTTCCCGAAATCGACGCGCGACCGGTGGACGGAACTCCACTCGCAATTCGAGAACGAGTGCGCATGGTGCGGATGAAGTGTGGCGACGACTTTGGATTCAGCATGCCCATGCTGGCCACGATGCTGGACGGCTGCGACATTCTGCTTGGGCGTGATTGGCTGCGAAAATATAATCTGAGGATCGACTGGACAACTGGCGAATGCAGCGTACACTGTGCGAACAGGAGGCGCGTACTTCCGAGCTGGCGTGGGAGAGATCCGGTGTCGACACGTGTCAACGCCATCACCCTCCAGCGAGCAGTTAAAAAAGGAGCTGATCTGTACGCCGTCCACCTGGCCGAAGAGACGGTCGACGACACGCCAAAGGACATTGACACACTTTGTGCCAGTGTCCCTGCCGAGCTCGCCGCACTGATTCGACAGTACCCGGATATTTTTCCGGATGATCTGCCCGCAGGACTGCCACCCGAACGCCCCCAGGACCACAAAATTGACCTAGAACCCGGTGCGCAGCCTACAATCAGGACCCAGTGGCGGTTGACTCAGCCCGAGCTCACGGAGTTGCGGAGCCAGCTGGACTACCTCTTGGAGAAGGGGTTCATTCGGCCCAGCACGTCCCCGTTCGCAGCACCAATCCTATTCACGCCCAAAAACGACGGCGGTCTGCGAATGTGCATCGACTACAGGGCGCTGAATCGGCGAACAATCGAGTCCCGCTACCCAATCCCACGCGCGGACGATCTTCTCGATCAACTTAGCGGAGCTCGCTTCTTCTCGAAAATCAACTTACGCGGCGGTTACCATCAGATCCGAGTCTTCGCTGACGACTGCCACAAGACGGCGTTTCGAACCCGCTATGGCAGCTACGAGTACACAGTGATGCCGTTTGGCCTCACGAACATGCCCTCCATTTTCCAACTCACCATGAATGGCGTATTCCGAGATCTACTCGACAAGTGTGTCATCGTCTATCTTGATGATATTTTGATCTACAGCAAGACACAGGAACAGCACCTCAAGGACCTCGAGCAAGTTTTCCAACGGCTGCAAGAACACCGGCTCATCACGAAGGGCTCTAATTGCGAGTTCCTCAAATCCGAACTAGAATTTTTGGGACATGTCGTAGGAGCAAACGGCATAAAAATCGATCCGAAAAAAATCACAACGATTCACGACTGGAAGCCGCCGACGAATTTACAGGAGCTGCAGAGTTTTCTCGAGTTCGTTAATTACGTCCGGAGGTTTATCCCCAATATGGCAGGGATAACCGAACCGTTAACTAACCTGCTGCGGAAGGGCACTTTGTTTGAGTGGGGGGAGAGACAGCAGACTGCTTTCGATGAACTGCGAAATTTTCTGACGTCGCCCCCGGTCCTCCGAATCGCCGACCCATCTCGACCGTTCGAAGTCTTGACGGACGCTAGCGATTTCGCCATCGGTGCGATACTGTTACAGGATTTCGGCGACGGACTCCAACCCATCGCGTATGAGTCTAGGAAGTTGCAGGCAGCCAAGCGCAACTACCCCGTCCACGACAAAGAAATGCTTGCCATCGTGCACGCATTCAAGGTGTGGCGATGCTACCTGACGGGAGCCGACGTGACAGTACGGACAGACCATAAATCCCTACAGTACCTTCGCGCGCAGCCGAACCTCAATCCACGGCTGATTCACTGGCTGGACTTCCTCGAAAGCAACTTCCACTACACCATCACGTACGAACGTGGGGCGATCACATCGCCGACGCACTGACAAGACCATCCGCCCACCTCGCCTCCATCATCGTCGCAAAATCCAACCCGCTGCTCACTGGCCTATTTACCCACGGATATACCACAGACCCCTTTTTCACCCGCAACCTCCACCAGCAAGCCACCACAGCCAAAGGACCCTACTTCCTAAAAGCTGGTACTGACCGTATCTGGGTTCCCGCCTACAGACTCCTCCGCGAATTACTTGTTCAAGAAGTCCACGATTCTAACCTCTCCGGTCATTTCGGGGTTGACAAAACCCAGATTTTACTTCACCGTTTTTATTATTGGCCTGATTCGGCGTCTGATGTGCAGAGATACATATCTGCGTGCCCGATCTGCCAATGCATGAAGTCCTCTCGACAGCGGCCAGCTGGACTGCTGCAACCGCTCGAGCCACCCCAGCGGCCGTGGCAACACATGACGATGGACTTCGTCACGGGACTTCCGACAACCGAAACGGGCAACGACGCCGTCCTCATCGTCGTCGATCGTCTGACGAAGATGGCGCATTTCACACCCTGTCGCACAACAATCACAGCCGAGGATACAACAAAACTCTTCATCTCCATCGTTGTTCGTTTACACGGCGTCCCATCAGCGATCATCAGCGACCGCGACCCAAAATTCACGTCCAAGTTCTGGCAAGAGACATGGGCCCAGTATGGCACACGCCTCCAATTTTCCTCCGCCTATCATCCTCAAACCGACGGCCAGACCGAACGAACCAATCAGACCATGGAGCAGCTGATACGCACCAACTGCCCCCATCCTGCCCGATGGGAAGAATTCCTGCCCATGCTGGAATTTTCCTACAACAATGCCCCATCTGCTACGACTAATCACTCGCCGTTTTTCCTAAACTACGGGATGGATCCGACCGTCCCGACGACTACCAACATCGACAACCCAGTGCCACGTTCCCAGCAGTTCGTGACCAATTTGCAAGCTGCCCGGGATAAAGCGATCGAATACTTTTGCA